GACGTTTTACAGGAACGTTTACGTCATAATAGCGCCAAACGTGACCAAGATCGGCGTATGCCACTCTGGCTTTCTATAAATATTTAGAAATTTCATCGGTCAGACCTACACCAGCACTCGCACAACCATGCAATTACACAAGCTTTGCCACAACTCCCAGCAATTCACCAACAAAGGTGACTGGGGGCTTTGCCAATCTTGCAGAAGCACTGCGACCCTGAGGATGATAAGAACCAACCGTATTTACTGACAGTAAACACCAACTGAACGTGCAACCTGAATGTTGTCGAACAGTAATTCGATGGAGATCGCATAATCTAAGTAAAGAATATCCTTTTATTTGGAAATAGGCCTGCACTACCACAATAAAATTCCTTCCGGGTGTCATTGATTACAAAGTTAAAGAGCTATAGCGAATTGAGACAGCTATCTGTTACTCCGCTGCAGGTTTGGAATTTGGTGTTGAAGTGCGGGGCCTTTAAAATGTTCGCACACATCTCAAGGTGAACCCAATAAGCAGCTCCAGAACACAGCCCTACGTTGAGGAATACGACAGTTGACTTGAAACAAATATGATGTTCGAACATATGACATAATCAACACATCCACAGCCTGAACGAAACCCATTGTGCTTCTCGTGAAGTTTTTCAAGCGTTTCACAAATCCTGAGAAGTATGATGACAGTCTATATTTTATGCTCCATTGGTAGGAGACTGGTACTTAGATACTTACTACACAGACCACTTGTAAAGATGGCAACAAAAACGACCTCATTCCACAATTATGGAACATCCTCAGGTTGTTATGCCTGCTGGTCGGAAAGTGTACTCAGTTCCTTGACTACAATCTCATTTCCATCCTTGAAAGCAACTGGAGGTACGTTTCCTGTTCCGAGTGTTTTATGGTTCTTTAGTACTTGGAATTCTTTGTGGACCTCATCTACTTTAAGTTGGCTGGTACTGAGTGATTATGGAGTAAAAGATACTGAAGTCGATGTTGTTTGGAGAGTAAGCAAGTTAAATTGCTTTTCGAAATAATCTGCCCAGCGTTCCAGGCGTCTGTAAAAGTTGAGGATGAATGAGTCAATATGAAAAGTAAATCGTTCCACTAACATCAGGCTTCTTGTTGACAGTGACCCGGATGAGTCTGAATAACTTCCAACTGTTGCCAGATGCAGCAGCTAATTTCATAGGACTCACGCATTCTGAACATCAAGTATTGTGGTCTTAAAGCAAACGCTGTCATCTGCAGCATAAGGGAATTACGTATACCAGTATACCTGCTACCTACCAGAATAGACCGACGGACATAAAGTTGTAAGGAGCGCGCAGAGACCCTATAATTATTGGCTGAACGTTTTTCAAAGTTACAATCAGATTTATTCGTCTCGTAAGTGCAGTTAGTGTTCATCTATAATTCCTAGGGGTTAGATGATTAACCTTTAGCTTGGTTTGAAATTTAGGTGCAACCAATTTGCTTCCTTCCACTCAATTTCGATGACCTTAGTACACATTTGTGCGTGATCAGAGTCCAATAAGTGCTCCATAAGGAACGATAGTTATGAATACAAACATGATATCAACATCTAATTGTAATATAACCTACTTGAGTAGCAGAACGAGAACGCTAGATAGCACAACGGTTATGCCAACAGTTGATGCTTGTTCGAAACAAGTGATCTGCTCAAAGCCGTAGAAGATGTTATGCATTGTTTCGCCTACAACAGAATAATCTCCTTTGAGTACCTGAAGGATACTTCTTGGAGCCTAGACAACCTATGTGTTCAAGTTCCCAGACAGCACTCTGATATCTGTTAAGTGAGCTTCACAGAGAAAATTATTCAGTTAACGGTAGAACTTTAACTGCATCCGAGCTGCAGTCAATTAGAGTATAGGCAGAGATGACAACCAACATCATCCACCTGAGCTACAAATATTCTCCACCAATTCAAGTTACTGTAGGTGATATGTTACCCCACCCTGACGCTCAAACTGAAGCAGGTGTTTGTTTTAAGGGACCACTTCCCAGCATACAGTTAAAAAAATTAAGCACAAGATGGTAGGGTATCATGAGCCGCTGCATTCTCATGTTTTTCAATGACCACAATAGATATGTAGACCGTTCCTCAGTTTTGGAACGCGAAGTGAAAGTGTACAAAATTGGTTTGGAATTAGTGTTATTCACCATCCCTAGATTTACTGAGTGTACATCAATCTGATCATAGCGCTAAACGTCTATCCAACCCACAATCCTCTAAAATCTTCCTTAAATACTTTTGCAACTAGGACATTTGCTCTTCTTTGAATTAGGTTACTTATAGCCTTCTCAACTTCTGGGGAAGTGATGACTTCTCTTAAAGTTCCATTTAGAATTCGGTTGGATAGTGAAGAACGGAATGGTAGCTGGAGGTACTGCAATGTACCTCGAAGTGTTCCACCCATCGTTTCCCTTCCGAGTGAATCACAGACTTATTCTTCCTCGTTATAGTTTCACTAACCATTGACCTATTGCTCCAGCTCCCTTGATAATTCTAAACAATTGCCAATTGTTACTTATAGCCACTGCCTTTCCCATCTCTTTAGGCATCACTATACGACACAGGTCACGGTCATTGCATCAACTCTTTGCTAGTCTGCATTCGAGTTTTGTCCCCTTCTCATTGTGCTAAGAATCAGAAAGAAGGAGTCCACGTGAATTCATTAGATAAGAAGCTGTTGAGATTGACTGGCACTTTCTGAAAGTTAGTTACGGTCTTTAATGCTGTTTATAGAGGAGACTGCAAATTGCGCCAAGCTTCTGGATGAGTTATGTTATTCTGTTCTGATAAATATCCAGTCAGTTTCTTGCTGAGAACAGTCTTAGTAATTTCGGAGTCGAGCTGTGCTCAGAATCGGTTTGCAGTTGAAGGTTTATGACCTCCATTCAAGTGCATAAATACCCATGCTAGAAACAACACATGATCATCATCCAAAAAGCGTGCTGCAGAAGAACAGGAAGTTATTCAAAGACAATATTCAGCGTCAGCTGATTGCTACAGCGTCCGCCTCTATATTTACGTTGAGAGCGGTGGACGCCGCGTCAGATGAGGAACGAAACCTACTTAGCAACCTTGTTCAGATTCGTGCAGGAGACAATACGGCACACATATTATGTGAAGACTAGCGTTACTACTTGACCACCCAAGACTCAGTAGGTGGAGCGGGATCCGAACCCGTGACCCAGTAATTCATAGTCACCTTCATAAACCATTGAGCCACGGCTCTACATCAGACAAGGTCTCTCTATGTTTGAAGTTTGTGCTAACATCGAATAGGCGGTTGTCTGAGCATAGTTGAGACAGGCGGTCACCATTTTCTGTTTGTTTGTCTGGGATTCCAAGTGTCACCTGAGTGACTTTCTATTTGACCTAGCCCACCCACTTGTGCATTGAAATCACTTGGTACAACAACCACGCCCGAACACTTGGCTTTTAGTAATGCAGACAGATGCCTAAGGACAGAAAACGGCGAGAGTTTCGCTACACTTCCAGTTTTCACTGCGCAGTTCAGTCAAACAGCCCACAGGGATTTAGTCAAGCAGTACACCTCCTTCCCTACCAATTAATGCTTTATCAATACTTGCAACACAGAAACAACTAGCCAGCGAATGTTCAGAAACTCGAAGAGTGAATGCTAAAGATACACCATTGTGGTCGGGTGAGGTTAAATGAATAACTGCATTTGATTCCAGTATGAGTGTACCACAAAAGCAGCACACATTCATGGTCCGCGATGCCAGAGTTCCGACCAGCGAAGCATGTTGTTTGATTTGATAGAGGGGCGGATATCAAAAGCTTCAATATGTAGTTCAGGGCATCGATTCAGGAGACCAGGGATGCCCTTTCGTAGATTCGAATAGTTGCAGAACTGGAACAAATTATGGAAAACGTAGAGGTTTTATCTGAGAGATGGGACAAAAGATTAAGAGACAAAGATGTTAAAGGTTGATGATAATCTGAGTACTTATAGAACTATCAGGGTGGTTGATACTTCTCGGTTGGTAATATCGTTCAAGGGATAATCTGCTTAAAGCTAGTCACATACAGCCTTTTTAGAAATTTAACTTTAAGCAGTTTGCCCCCAATCAGAAAACCTATACTGTCGGGAATGTGAGAGTGTACTATTTTTAGAACCCAACTTTTCTTACCTCCACATGAAAAAGACAGTATAAGACTGAAGAGTTAGTCACCTGCAAAAAATACTTTACTGCTGTTACATCTCGTCTAACTAGCAATACGAATTCCTTTTCAGAACCACTATTACAGAAGTAAGTCTTTTTGATATGCTAAAATGTCAAGGAACAAATATAGTCATCAGCATAACTCGCTGGATGATTTGGGTATTCATGCATGATCACCACGTCATGGTAGTAGCTACCGGTAAGGATTTATTAGTAAAAATGATTTGAGATATAAATATAATTGTTTTATGGTTAAAAAACTGTACCATGAATTATTTCACAAATTTATAAATACCATAACTTTTGAAGCCAATACCTTTCTAAAGCCAGTCTGTAAACAATTTGATTAAACTGCTTAGTTCAATTGCTTGCAACTACTGAAACATATATCACTATCCATCGTGAACTATTGAAAGTCTGGGAGCACTGAACATCTATTTCGTCCCAGTATGGGACTTCTCAGCAGTATGCACCCACGAACAGGCTAGGGATGGAACTCAGGACGTTCAGGTTTTACGGCGAACGCGTTAACCATTCAGCCATTGGGTCGGTTTCCAGTGGTTCACCCAGTGGCTGAATGGTTAACGCGTTCGCCATGAAACCTGAACGTCCTGAGTTCCATCCCTAGCCGGGTCGTGGGTGCGTACTGCTGAGGAATCCCATACGAGGACGAAACAGGTGTTCAGTGCTCATAGATTTTCAATAGTTCCCCAACTGATGTCAGTCCATGATGAATACTACTTCTAAATTAAAAATCCCCATTCATCTCAGAAAAACATCACTATCGTTAGTAAAGTTTATTTTTTTTAAAAACAATAAATACTTAAATACAAGTTGAAATCACTTACATTCCAAATGTGTATATAATACATGAAATTTAGTTCACAAAGGAAGCGTTTGTTATAGCTTATGCAGACAGACAACCGTACAAAAATATGATTGAATACAAAAGAGGAAGACATCATCATAAACTGGACATTTTTTTAGTTACAGTAAATAACAAGTATTGTATAGCCAGTAATGGATTAGGACGAGTCTTCACTGGGTAAAAATGCCAATCCAAATCAAAACTGTTAAACAAAAAAGAAAAAAGTAAAGTAAACATACAAAACATATAACATATTGTAAGAATGAGAAGAACTTGCTGCGTTTCGATAATTTAAGCAACTTAAAATATCCTAATGCTTGGCTCCAAATGTTAGGTCTCATTATCTAACTGAATACCGAAAATCATTATCTCTTTGCATACAAATACAACTCAGTGAGTTTCAAGAGGAAACGATAAGAAATACTAACTGGAAGTCATACTGTTGGTTGGCGAGAGTGGGACAGTAATTAGGTGTTTTGCACGGATGACCAGCAATACCGTAACTAATGCTGCCTTCCCTAGGGGAAAGAGAGGTTAAAGAAGGTCAGTACTCAAAATAGGAGACCCCACCTTGCCCTGCAACCTTCTGGTGTCAGTGGTATGGGTTTTCTTTATTCAGCGTTAGAAAAATCAAATCTCATACCGATCATCCTCAAAAAGCTATGTGACAGGCCTAATGCAGATGTCTTGTGGACTTTGCGGTCATACACATCTTTTTCTCTTTCAAGTACCTTAAGAAATAGCTTTCCACGGTATGGGCAGCCGGGAAGTATCAACCGCTCGCAAGCTTCCAGTAGTATAGACGATTCAATCAAACATAATCTATTCTCCTCAAATCTATCTCCTCCTGTCCCTTCATCTCCTGATACTAATATTAAGCTTCTTATACCTTACCCACTCATACTCTCAGACCATTGCCAACGGCCAAAGCCAGCGATGCGCCATTCTTAGTCCGCTAAATCCCATCGTTGATTTCACACTGGAGTTTTCAACGTCCGAATCCGATAAAAGTCAGACAGCAGACATCGTTCGCCGAAAATCCGGGATCTTGAGTTATGAACCCAAGTGTGATAACCAAATTGGCCTCACCCAATAATGCATCGAATCTTCGAAATTCACTTTATGAGTGTCCGAAGATTCCATGACCTGCATCTACGGACTCGCTGGTGTAAACACAGCACTTGTAAAGTAGAAAGTGCACCTCTCGACAGGGTACCAGTCAATAGCTATCTGTGTGCTGTCTGAATGAATGAATCTGTAAGAACTAGGAAGGATCGTGAGACTTAACGTTATTGGTGTCGGAAAAGAGAGAGATGAAGAAGGGATCAGAGTTGGGTAGCATTCAGCAAGTGTTTAGGTTTATTGCGAATAATGGCAAGAAAAAGGCAATGGTGAGTGAAACCATCACCAGAAAAGGATGGAAAGCTGATAACCTCCCACGACAGACGGCTAGAAAGTTGGGCAGAACACTTTGAAACACAGTGCAGCTGGCCCTTAGAAGCGCTTTAGCTACCCAACATCCAGCTTGAACCTGAATGGGACGTAAATATCGGTCCTCCAACTTTCCTAGAAGTAGAGAAAGCTGCTTCAGACCCGAAACCGTCCAAATCAGCAAGACCTGACAGTTGGCCATCTGAAGTTGTAAGGATGAAGGTAAGGAATTACTGAGCAGGGTAACGGAGATACTAGGTCGTGCTTAGGAGTCAGAAGTGGTACCCTCAATCTGGTTTACTTCACTTATCATTTCAGTCTATAAGTGAAGATAGCAATATCTTTCTGTGACAATCATAGCGGAATTAGTTTGACTAACATTATGTCCAAGAACTTACGATCTATAGCTATCCAACGCCTTACTTACTGGAGCTCGCGAACGGCAAAATCAAGAAAACCAGGCAGGTTTCGGACCTAGACGAGGGTGCATCAAAAATATCTTGACCCTCCGACAGGTTCTGGAACACAGGCATACCTACCGGCCAACGACCAACATTTTCCATATTACTTGACTTGAAGGTGGGCTTTGACTATGTCAACCGAGAAGTATAGTAATAGCGTCTAATTTTGAAGGGAGTACAGAACAAGCATATAACGCTAATAGAAACTCTCTTCATTTACTTGAGTCGTATTAACCCAAACGGTTTAGTTGCTGATAAAATCTTGGCTCGGATACGGGAGACTCACCATCTCACATTTGCAGACACGCGTCATCTCCAGCACCAGCGAGATGTCTGACTACCTAGTGAGAGACGAGTAAACTGTACTAGAGTTCGCTTTGTCCTATTATACGGCTCTTAAGCAGCTGTTAGAAGTAGAAGAAACGAAGGGATTATAGGTTTTCAAAAACAGACGTCTTGACAGCATTTCTGGTGGAATCACCATGTGAGCGATTTAGAAGTTAAGAGAAGAGTATTAGGCGAGGAAGGCAAGTTAGTCAATGAAGTTGTGAACCATCAGCAACTGAGGTGGCTTGGTCATATGATACGCATACCTAGACACCGCCTACCTCGACGTACAATGTAAGTCAGTAGAAGGTTGGTTTGGAAAAGTGTTTAAGATGGCCATAGCAAGACGTGGCACCAATGCATAAAATTTCTGACTGTTGATGTGGGTCGTGTATATGTATAGGCTGTTTGGCTGGGGCCCTCGACAACATAAGAATCAGTGTTTGGAGAGTCTTGCAGATATCTGAAAATCGGTCAGTGACGCATGTGTGTTCACTCTTTGGCAACTTCTAAAGCTTGAACACTTTCGCTAAAATTGGTTTTTATACTCCTTTTTCTCTACCCATTCGTTCTGTGCATGGCGCTGTGATGTGTGGCAAATTGAACCGATGTACTTGTGTGTGAAATTCTACGTTAATTTTGTCTGTCTGTCTGCTGGCAATCTGTAGGAAACACCTTACCGCCATCATATTCCATCCGGCCATCAACAAGATGTTGCTTTCAGATACCTAGTACACCGCAGTTACTTACACTAAACCCGTAACTGCCTTTCGTCTTATCTTTATAGAAAAAACCTTTCTGATATGGTAAGCCAGCATACCTCGTTAGGTTACTGTAACATGCAAGCCCGATCACCACATCAAGCTAGTAGATATCGATCTATGATTCTAATTGGACGCCGAGATGAAACTAGGGAACAGAAAAACTAACAGCTTTCAGACGTGGTCATAATTTATCAACCAGATCTAGTGCATGGGTTTTCCCATACTTCAGTAGATGTTACGAGGATCTGACCGGTATATAATTTGATACCAGGATTTTTACTCGTATTTATTGCTTAATAAATAGATCAGTCAACTTTAGATTTTTAAGCACCGGTTGCTAAGATAATATTTAAGTAGCCTACTTAACAGTAATCCAATTGTTGGTCAAGAGAGACTTGACAAATTGGGAGGCTTAGTTTTAATATGTGAGTCACATGTGTGACTAAGAGGAAATCAAAGTGCAACGCTATACATCATGATAGAACAGAGAATAGAATGGCAATCAACTCTCTACTTCAACTTCATCGACTTTGAAAAGGCCTTCGATAGCATCGACCGAGAAGTAATTTGGCAGCTGCTTCAACACTACGGTTTTAGGGCCACACACTTTTATCAACCTCATTCAAAAGCTATATGCTATATGAGGATTCTACATGCCAATCAAGTGATTCACAATGGAAAGCTCAGGTCACTGATGCCTTCGAAGTGAAGACAGGAAGGAGTAGGACAAGGTTGCCGCCTAATATCATCAAAGATCTTCCTGATTGTGGTCGACTGGATCATACAGCAAACTGTGAGTAGCCGTGAGATGGCCATACGCTGTTTGACTGCTGAAAAGATCCTAGAAGAAGATTTGGATTTCGCCAACGATGATGATTTTTATATCTAATGTCTTGTCGCACAAACTCGAAGATCTACAGGTGAAAAACTAACAAGTTGACAAAAGAGGTAGCGAAGACAGGACTTCCTTCAGATGAACGTAGAGAAGACAGAGATGATGAAGATACCCAACCAACAACAACAAGCACCAATCACCATCAACAGGAGAATTCTGATGAGAGTTGTCTCTTTCACCTATCCACCTACCTAGGCAGGCGTTGTTGGCACAGATGAAGATGTAAAGCCAGCATTGGAAAGACAGCAAAATAGGCCTTCCTGCATTAATCTGAAACCAGTGTGGAGATCTACTGCACTCCACTGCACTCAGCTAAGAGCGTGAACAACATCCGGCTTTTCAACACTAATTCGGTCAGTGCTTCTATGTGGTGGTTCAAAGAGTTGGCGCGTCACGAAAATCATGTCTAACAAGCTACAGACATCATACATAGACAGCTGCCGCCTATGCTCACTCGATACTGAAGATCAGATGGCCAGAATAATAAGAATAAGCAACAAGGAACTCACTCTGGCTGGCTGCCTGGTGACGAACCAACGAGGCAAGAACCCATCGGTGACGAGTTGGGCGTCCGAGGTGAGGGTGACATGGAGGAGATGCTTTGAGGAAGAAATGAGAGGTTGTGGGCTGTAGTGGAGCCAGGTTGAAAAGACTACAGAGAAGAGAGTGGAGTGGAGACGTGCTAGTGAAGCCCTATGTTGTATTAGGAACCCAACGGACAAATAATAATAATATTAATAAGAGGAAATCAACCGACTAGAACTCAAAAGTTGTTGAGTTCACTATTTATGATAGGGAACAGAAGACATTTTTAAATGGTAGATTTTTCATTTCCAAGAGGAAACAACACTGTTATATTTCAGCTGCTCAAGTATACCACCCATAACTTAACTTTATGTGAGTTATTCAATAGTGTCATCTCATTCTGATATACTGAAAAACACAACGTAGGACCTGGTACAGCGATGCACTAATCTCAGTTGACTGATAACTGACAAAATCAACGTAAAACCTCTCATACATAAGTGCATCGGTTCAAGTTGCCACACTCCACAGTAGTAAACAAAGAACAAGTCAATAGAAAAAGAGTGATGTCAAAGAAGATAAAGTAGTGTGAGAAAATAAAGAATCTGAAGATACCAGTTAGTGCAGAATATTCAAGCTTTAGGTGTCGAACAGTGACTACTTCTACGCCACTCCAACCGATTTTCAATCATGTGATCAAGAGTTCTGAATCAAGGACCCCAACCACGCAATCTATATCTCCCCCACACGTCTCAGGCTGAAAGACTTCATGGAGTGGTGCTACATCTTGGTCTGGCCACCCTGAACCTTCTTCCGACCTAATACAACTTCCCCTGTCATGGCATGTCGAGACAGGTGCAGTATATATCTAAGCCATCTTAGTCAACTAAGGTTCACAATCTCATCAATCGTTTTACCTAGTACCCTTCGCTTGACCTCAACACTGTTAACATAGTGATTCCATAAAACGCGAGAAATCCTACGAAGACATCTGTGGTCGAAACCCAGTAATCGTTTCATATCTTCTTCTTTTAACGGTCATTTCTCACACTTGTGCAAAGGAAATGGACTGGTTGCTGACAAAACCTCAGCTCAGATACAGGAATACTCGTCTGGAATTTGTTAACTTGCGTCATCTCTGGCGCCGAGCTGATGTAGGTATATATTAGTAACAGTTAAATATAATATACTACTACTGAATTAAATGAGTAGCTACAAAATACACACTGATCAGTTAATTCTGTTAACACGAATCTCAGTGATGTAAAAATCGAAGAGTTCACATAAGTTAAACATGAACCTGTAAGTTGAATGGATCAATATACCAAATATTGACAATCAGTTTACAAATATTTTACAAATTGCATGGTTCCAGCTACCAAGCTATAGTATCAATAAGGTTTCCGTTGTTGGTGTCTAGATACTCCTGATCAGATATTCATCAGCGCTGATCTGAAGTGAAGCAGTTAATATATCCAACCGCTTTCTCATATTCATAGACATCAATTCTTGAGAAAATTTACTTCAATTTGTATATCAGTGACCAACTGTGGAGATAGACTAAACTGGATGTAAACAATTCGACCATATATAGGTTGAATAGACTCAACTATATCATTGTTAAGCTTAATTATAAACCGGTAGCACGACTATTTGACGTCAAAACCATTTACACAAGGTTATTTTTTTGATTGGTATGAAGAATTTCCAATTGCTTGGTAGTCTACAATATACGCCAAACATACTTAAACTTCAATATAACTTATATTCATATTAATACTAAAAAGTGAAATAATTCAAAGGATGAAAAAGTTACTGACCTGAGATGCATACGAAGTTTTTTCATATCAGCATTTGACATTTTGAGACCTACTTCACCAACATTTAGAGAATTAGTATATTTTCCAGTAGGATCGAAATTAAGATGAAATCGAGAATGTGGATCAGATCGACGATAGAGTCCTTCATGAATTTCTTGTAGTGTCGGTACCAAACATGAATTAACAATAAATAAATCAGAAGGAGCAGAATTGAACAGAAGAACAAGGACACAGCAAGTACGACTGAAGAGACGTATACTCTGAATTACAAAACAGAACGGAAATAATAAATACGATTTTGAAAGAAATATTATGAGTAGATAACACGTAATGGTCATGAGTTTCAAGCTTTGTTTCAATAATGTATAATTGTCAATAAAAAGAAATCGAAACGATGATAAAATCAAGCCATGAATCGAGAAATGAGAGATAGTCAACGTAAAGAAACAATTCATATATGATAATTTAAATGCGGTGAAATAATTTTTTAGATGTAAGAGTAGTATTCATCATGAACTGACAACAGTTGGGGAACCATTGAAAATCTGGGAGTACTGGACAGCTGTTTCGTCCTAGTATGCGACTCCTCAGCAGTACGCACCCACCACCCGGCTAGGGATCGAACCCAGGACGTCCAGGTTTCATGGCGAACGCGTTAAACATTCAGCCACTGGGTTGGTTTCCAGTGGTTCACAATTTCCAACTTCTGTCAATTCACGACATACCACGACTGTCTGGAAGTTCTAATGAGAAGCCGTGACCAGTGGGGTCAACCAGTCGTAAGTGAAGTGGATGTTAACTGGAGACCTTGAGTGATAGTCGCGCTATGTCATCGTGGATTGACAGAAGTTGGAAATTGTGAACCACTGGAAACCGACCCACTGGCTGAATGGTTAACGCGTTCGCCATGAAACCTGAAGGTTTTGAGTTTGATCCCTAGCTGGGTCGTGGGTGCGTACTGCTGAGGAGTTCCACACTAGGACGAAACAGCTGTTCAGTGCTCCCAGATTTTCAATGGTTCCGCAACTGATGTCAGTCCATGATGAATACTACTTCTAAATTAATATCTGTAACAAATTACTTATTTTACTACAGGCAGGTAAACAATGTTTAGTTCACATCTAAAATTATAGATATAGCAACTCAATGAATTGTTTAAATGCTGAGTAGTCATAAAACTTTCCCAGCGTATGACACCGTCGTTGATTGGACCGAATTGATGAGTCTCTGTTGGGATATGGGTTCTTGTGTAGATGCCTCGATATTGCCTGTGTTTTAGTTATGTATAGTAATGATGGGCAGTAGCTAGCAGTGCAATCCAGGATGCGCATTTCGTCCTATTTGAGACGCGTCAGTTGGATGTACCTGCCGGCTCCCAGTGAGTGATGTTGTTCCCACCGAGACAAGCAATAACACTAAACCTATGCCTGTCGCACAAGAAGTGGCTATTGTGGCTCGGTGGTGTAGTAGATAACGCTCTCGCGTTTGAAGCGATCGCTCCCGAGTCCGAGTCCCGGTGGGAACGACATCACTGACTGGGAGGCAGGTACATCCAGCTAACGAGTCCCAAATAGAACGAGATCCACATCCTGGATTCCACTGCTAGCCACTGCCCATCAATTACTAAGAAAATAATGACTTTAAAATTTTAACCTGGTTATCATTTGAAACTCCTCAGACGTTTTGTATCCACACCTTACACGTAGTATAACAACTGAGTAGAGGAAATAAACTTCAATTATTAAAATCTATTTATATTCATAGTGGTATTGTGAGATTTACTTATTCTAACAAAAATTTCTCATTCACTCACTCTACCATTGAATACGCAATATTTGTAGCATGGAATATATCCAAGTTGAACTTGACTTTCAAAGAAGGACGCTAGCGGAAAACGTCTATACTAGCCGATTTATCGATAAGAAAGACATACGAGAACACGCATCAGCTCAGTTTCTAAAAAGACTTTGTCCATGAATCTGGACTTCAAAGGTGATGCATCGTCAGATATTTTGAAAAATCGGCTTTCCATATGAATTAGTAGGACATTTTCCCCACCCTAACTTTACTTGATCTTTACCCATCGTAAATGGTTCTCCGTTTGTACAACGGACAATTTCCCTCGACAGACCACATCCGTGTGTATCTACCAGTTCACCTGCTTCTGTGTAGCAAACTACATCGTCCGTAGTCAGAGATAGCTGTCAACACATATACGAGAACGTATTCCAACCTTGTTTTATAAAGATGAAAGGAAATGCATCAGAAGTTCTATCCTTGAGCAATTAATCGATTCCAACCATTCAACCCACCAGAACAAGGATTTTAAGATTGTCTAGCGAATTCGCCCAAACACCTCAAGTTTCCTCCGTGTTCAGCTTCTAAAAATAACAGAGGCCTAGGTTGTCAATGAACTGAAGCCTAACTTTTGTGTGCAAAAAAAGTATGTACAGTCTTTATCGCTATTATTATTATTATTATTATTTGTCCGTTGGGTTCCTAATACAACATAGGGCTTCACTAGCACGTCTCCACTCCACTCCCTTCTCTGAAATCTTTTCAACCTGGCTCCACTACAGCCCACAACCTCTCATTTCTTCCTCACACCATCTCCTCCATGTCACCCTCACCTCGGACGCCCAACTTGTCGTTTCCCATTTGGGTTCCACTCGAGTACATGGCCTAGTGCGTGATATCCCCGAATGCTCTTCTCAGTGCATGCCCGAGCCAATCCATCTCCACTTCCTTCCAGTGCATATTTGTTGAGTGGTAGATTCTTGGTTGGCTCGTCACCAGACAGTCAGAGTGAATTCCTTGTTGCTTATTCTTATTATTCTGGCCATCTGAGCTTCAGTGCCGACCAAGCGTAGGCAGTTGTTGATGAATATCTGTAGTTTTTTGTCTTTGTCTCTACCTTGGCCTTAATTTATTTTAGTCTTGGTGTGCTTCATTCCCTTTTTTTGTTTTTCACCCCCTTTTTTGTCAGATTAATCTTTGTACTCTTATATCATCATAATCATTTTATTTTTGTATTTTATTGTTTTCGGTGTTATTTCATTTGATCTTCTTAATAATCACCCCTTTTAACAAAACATTTTCATACTGCGTGATGATTGAAGGTGAGACGAAGAACTGGGCCGCTGCTGGATAATCAAATAATAAAACATTTTCAATTTATTCCAATTAACTTGTCCCATTCATATTGCCTAATTTTTTGATGGTTTATTATCTCTAACACGTTTTCACTCCTTTTTAATCTATATGCACCTTACAAACGATTTAAAATCTTACGTAACCCTTTTTGTTATCATTCGAGCTTTACATCGTCAACTAGTTGTGGAGATTCAGAAATATTTTAAGTGGTTCAATGGTAACGCGCTGGCCGCGGAACATGAAGGTCGTGGGTTCGATCTCCGGCGCTGCGGGGTCATGGGTGCGCATGGCTGAGGAGTCCCATGCTAGGACGAGACAGCTGTCCAGTGCTCCCAGGTTTCCTTTGTTCCTCCAACTGATGTCATATATATATATATATATATATATATATATATATATATATATATATATATATATATATACGAATGTACAGCTTGGGGATAAATTCGTTGAAAAGAATCCTCTTCGCTGAATATCTTTTTTTGATATCACAATAGGAATTATGTAACGTATTGAAAGCACTCCCACAACAAGAACAATTGGACGTCTATAATACGAGTGAGTAAACACAGTTATAACTTCATTGAAAAAAATTCCCTAATACAGCTTAGATAATGAACAAAAGAGTACATTGTCGTACAAACAGTGAACTAAGTTGTCGAACAATAACCTAAAAAATTGTATCCGTATGGATACACCACCCAGAATCAGTTTAGCTGGAGATATTTTAACTAGCCAAACTAAAAGTTCAGATATGAATGCATTTTGCTTGAATGGATAAGAAAGCACTGGCTTTTCAATATCAGAATACTTGAAAAGTTCATGGTCAAATATCAAAAAACCCATTTCAATCGACTGTTGTTTGACTGGAGTCAACTTTTCGAGAAAGTGAAATTGTTAGGGAAATATTTTATAAAATTCAGACAAAGTTGATAAAAAAAAAAGGAGACACTAACCACTGTTCCAGGGCGAGCACGCCATGTTCTTTGCAGTATTCCCACTAAAACTTCAATTAAACTCATATTCTGTGATATAGACAATGGGTTCTGTGATAATTTGGGCTCATTAAAAATGTTTTGACCAGTTTTTTTGTGCATGGCAGATGGAGATAGAGTGATTTGTAGATTTGATTCAGTTGTATTTAAACCTGGAAGACTTTGATGACGTCGTAATTGAGTGCTAAGGAAATGAACAATAGACGGTGTTTGGAATTCTTCACTGATAATATCATCTACATTCTCATTATTACCATCTGATTTAAATCTAAGAAGTAATGGATTCCACCACAAATTCAGATTACTGGCCAGATTTTTATGTCGTCCAATATTTAAAAACGTTCCTGTGATAGCTATAAAAATATCTTCATGTGGAACGGATCGATTACAAGCCATCATAATTTGAAAGAAACGAATAAGTACACACGGTGAATCTTCATAGTTCTGATTAGAATATAAGTTGTTAGGAACTGATAGACCAACAATCCAATAGCACAGTTCAATGGATAAACCAGTAGCCATTTCTAAGTAAGATTAATGAACAAGCAAAAGAAGAGAAATCAAATTGAACATATAAACATGGTTTCCAGTTTATTTCTACTACCAACTATTGTAAATTATCAAAATTCCAAAGAAATTAACAGTATCGAATTGATCCTAAAGATTATAGGATATATATAAATAGAAATACAAAAGTGGATCATAATTATTTATTAGTTTATTCGATGGTATAATTGATCCATTGATTCCATAAAACTTAGTAATATTCGTGCTCATCAAATTAATAAGAATTAGGAAGATATTCCATTATGTAGAAAAATAATCATCTATAGTAATTGTGTAAACTTAGTAACATGTAAGGACACAAATTTAACTATGGAATGCAAACAGTGAGGCTAAAAGTTATCCTCAAATGTTACCGTGCTTTTTTTTTTTTAATGAGATATAGCATTCTGTGCGTAAATTCAAGCATCCCATATGCTTATTTTTTACCTATTTTTATAGTTTCTAAAGACCCCTTTGTCAATGAACGATGTTTCATATCATTTATTCATGTGCAAAGTATTTAATTATACTTTTACCTCCTAGTTGCAATGTAAATACATTTATTTATAAAGAATGATGTCGACAAATCGAACGAACTCAACCTTCAAACTACAGCAAAAAGGAATTAGCATTGCAGTTTTCACTTCAACATTATATGCCTACAAACATAGAAAATACTTATTTTCACACAGAATACTACCAACCATCTGTGGATAACTTTTAAACCTACCTAATGTAAGTGACTTTAACCACTAAATACCATAAAACACTTAAAGAAACAATAGTAACTATGAAAGTTCGTAGATAAACTGAATCTGATAAAGGTATACAACCAGAGGATAAGATAATTTCTATATGATCATATCCTTAAGAAAAATACTTTAGTGCTATTATAGTGAATAATTCAAACAGAGAATTTGTAACATTTTCACCTTTTGTAGCATATTATAAGCAAAATTTATCTTGAATTATATACAAAGTAGACAAGAGGGTTGAGAGACACTCCAAAGTACAACTTATTAATCATGATATGGTCTTCGATTCGATTCGAACATAAGTGAAATAGAAGAAAGTAATGGAGCATCTAGTATTTTCTTTTCAATGACACGACTAGATAAAAAAAAAATTGATAACTGAAATCAAAATGGAGTTTGACTGCCAGTAAGTATACACAGCTAGGTCGGTTTATCTGAAAGAAACTAGTTTGAACTCTGCCGTGAGTGAGACTTAACTTCAAATTTGTTAATCATTTCCACATAGTTAAAAAAAATGACAAATAAGAGGCAGAAAAGGTTACATGGAGAGAAAATAAATTTGTGCTCTCCAAGATGATGGAAACATTGAGGGCGGGGGGAAGGTAAGAGACATCAGCTTCAAGATCTCTTAACGACACCAGAAATATCAATAGGTTTATAAACACTAAAATATATCATGTAGTATATCTACCTCTCTAGAAGATCTGGATTTCGCCAGTGATGACTTGTGTCTGATGTCACACAAACTCGAAGATCTATAGCCGAAAACTAACAAGTTGACAAAAGAGGCAGCGAAGACGGGACTTCAGGTGAATATAGAGAAGACAGAAGTGATGAAGATACCTAACCAACACCACCACCACCAACAAACTCCAATCACCATCAATGGGAGGAACCTAAAGGAAATAACCTCCTTCACCTATCTAGGCAGCACTGTTTCAACTACAGGTGGCACAGAAGAGGATGTCAAAGTCAGAATCGGAAAAGCAAGACAGGCGTTCATTAGCCTGAAACCAGTGTGGAGATCTTCTGCACTCCACTCAGCATAAAGCGTGAACAAGATCCGGATTTTCAACACCAATCCAGTCAAGTAAGTCAGTGCTTCTATATGATGGTTGAAACACTTGGCGCGTCACGAAACGGATTTCCAATAAACTACAGACATTCATCAACAACTGCTTACGCTCGCTACTAAAGATCAGATGGCCAGAATAATAAGAATAAGCAACAAGGAGCTCTGGGAACGAACCAACGAAGCAAGAACCTATCGCTCAACAAATATGCACTGGAAGAAAGTGGAGATGGATTGTCTCGGGCATGCACTGAGAAGGCCGACTGGGGACATCACACATCAGGCCCTCGAGTGGTATCCCCATGGGAAGCGACGAGTTGGACGTCCGAGGGTGACATGGAGGAGATCGTGCGAGGAGGAAATGAGAGCTTCTGGGCTGTGGTGGAGCGAGGTTCAAAAGATTTCACGGAACAGAGCTCACTGGAGACGTGCTACTGAAGCCCTATGTTCTATAAGGAACCCAAGGGACTAATAATAATAATAATAATATCTACCTCTCAAATGTGACACAGCAATTAAATAAAATGGAGGAAAAAAAAGCCTTTGCTATCGCTTACCAAGAAATTTGATTGCTTCGATAATTTGATTTACAGATGTAGACTCAGAAATTTGCTTTAATGCATTTCGTGCTTTCGAAGCTAACGTTAAATTTGGATTTGCACGTGCACGTTCTATTGCCTTTTTCAAGCGGAAATGTATATTTAATAAAGATTTTGCTTCAGAAGGTGAAAATGATATGAAGGAGGTTTTCTCTTTTTGTAACATTAACTTAGAATTTTGACAATTTAAGGCAGATTTTGTTCTGAGTGGAATATTATTAGAAGTTAGATGATTTCGTTGATTAAGTAATTGATTCGATATTTTTGTTGAAGTATTAGAGTTTTTAGATGATTGGGCCAAAATGAATAAATGTTTACGAATTTGAAAACCTTTCCATATAGCTTGAATTTGTACAGCAGCAGAACGTCGTCTATCCAAGAATCGTAAAAGAGAACATATATGCCACCAACGTTGAATTTTACGAGATGCATTGTGGCGTATTAGGATAAGTGAAACAGTCTATAGAAATCATTTCAGTAGATACAATTAAAAAGAATTAGTGATAAATTAGTAAAGCAAACAAAAATTAACCAATCAGAAAAATGAAGCGTAACAAATCATTGTATCTTGATTTACTCAATTTGACAAATAATGTACAAAACTTATTGGAAATATCTTACAATTCATTTTGTATACATAAAACTTCAGTTGAGGTCATTTATACTATACGATAAATAGGAGTTGAGTTATTTCTGAATAAATACCAATATAGGAAACTGTAAAATATGCCTTAAAGATGAATATGAAAACATCACTGACATGGTTTCTCAATCATAGAAAAAAAATATCTTACTCTTTAAAACAAAACGTTATGGTTCCTGAGTATATACTCTAAAAAGCTTCCGAATAACAATTTGGACACTTCATAGTACAATGAACTTTATTGACTATAATATTTTATGTATTCTCCTTTGTTATCATTGCTAAAGATAACCAGTTAGTAGTGCAAATTATTGCATTCTATGCAGATTTATCACCATATCATCATTATCAACATAGGACCAGGCATTACTGCGTAACGGTCCGAGTTGCCACACCTCATATCAGCACATCAAGTAAAAAGGTAGTGAGGCGAAGGATGAAGATAAGTGAATACAGTCAAAGGAAATATAAAGTATGAGAAGAAAGGGAAGAGGAGTGACAAAATGGTGAGATTCGGTATAGCATCGTTAAGATGAGGATAATGTGTGTATACATCTGCGCCACTGACATCGGTTCTGAGCCATATCACCTAGGGTCTCCAACCACCCAGTCTGCATCGTCCTACATGGCTTAAACCAACAGTCAGAGACTTCATACATTGGTGCCATGTTTTAGTCTGGCCACCTCGGGCCTTTTTACAGCCTGGGCCCACCTCAGCCAACATTGTGTGACGAGGCAATCGGTGACTAGGCATACGTAGTACGTGTCCCAACCATCTCAGTCGATGAAGGTTCACAACCTCGTCAACTGACTTACCTCTTCTCCCCAAAACTCTACACCTAACTTCTGCATTACTCATATGGTGACACCACGGAATACGTCCTATACTACGAAACGAAGGCAACGGTGGTCAAACACCTGAAGCCTTCTCACATCTTCCATTTTCAATGGCCATGTTTCACAGCCATAGAGTAGAACAGAGCGGACTGCTGTGCAGTACACGCCACCCTTAATAGAGAAACGAATGTCACGGCGGCGCCATAGGTGGCGCAAATTGGCAAAAGCCAATCGAGCCTTTTGTATCCGTGCAGAAATCTCGTCGGCAACTAACCCACCGAGGTTGATCCTACTTCCCAGGTAAGTGAAGTGGTGAACACACTCAACCACTTCACTCTCTATTGTTAACCGCGGTACCGTTGAAGACCAGTCCTGGAGCAAAAATTTGCATTTGGGTGGTGAAAATCGCATCCCAAACATTCTGAAATTCCCACTATATTGAATACTGTATTATCTTTTCACAATACCTAATTAACTGACAAGAACTATTAACGTTATATGACAATAAGATAGTGCAAGGTAATAGAAAAACAGTGATTTTTCGATCTCTGCAACATATAGGGACAGGTTTTTTTTTCTTCTATATAATAAAACACGCATTAAAGAATCATACAACCTATCGAATATCAATGTGAGTAAAGGACAACTGTGAAAAATCAGGTTTTATTTCTTAAAATTCAGCTACAAATTATCATATCTGTAGTGTTTAAGAAGCAATTGATGCTTGAAATGTACAAAAATATGCTATAACTTTAGCAAAAGGAACTAAAGATTTCCCCATTTAAGTGACCGGATGAGTCATATAACGGATCATAAAATTATCTATGAGAAGGTTCAACCATTATTAAAATTTCAGTTTAATAAAATAATCACGATAGAGTAAACAGATATTAATGCGAATAAACAAAAAATACACAAAAAAACAACATCTACCTCTTTGAATTGTGTGATAATTTTACGACTACGATGAGAACGCCAAGATATTTGTATTCGTAGTGCTGAAGCATGCCAAATATTAATTTCACGACATACTAAGAATCTACGAAAATATGACTGTATAACTGTGGCTGCTAAATTTCGAATATTTTGTATTTTTGCAAGTTGGCTACGAGCCAAATATCCTCGGGCATATTTCTGGACAGAGATACACCACTTATGAAAAAAAAGAGATAATTCTCAATCAATAAATTCAAAAAGTAATAAACAAGTATGCCACAAACAAGAAACATAAAGATATTTATAACCATCAAATATATAGCGCGTTTATAGAGTCAATAGTCCATCACCGACTTGAATTAGTTGAAACTTCTATTCAGCTCCAATCACCATCAATGGGAGAAATTCAAAGGAAGTAGCCTCCTTCACCTTCACCTACCTAGGCAGCACTGTTTCAACTACAGACAACACAGGCACAGACGACGACGTCAAAACAAGCCAGCATCGGAAATACACCAAGACAGGCCTTCCTGCATTAACCTGAAACCAGTATGGAGATCTTCTGCACTCCACTCAGCACAAAGTGTGAACAACATCCTCATTTTCAACACCAATTCAGCCAAGTAAGTCAGTGCTTTTGTATGGTTCACAGACTTGGCACGTCACGAAAGGGATTTCCAACAAACTACAGACATTCATCAACAACTGACTACTCTGGCTCCTTGCTGAAGATCAGATGGATGGCCAGAATAATAAGAATAAGCAACAAGCAACTCACTCTGGCTGCCTGGTGACGAACCACCGAGCCAAGAACCTATCACTCAACAAATATGCAGAAGAAGAGAGTGGAGATGGATTGGGTTGGGCATACACTGAGAAGGCTGATTGGGGACATTACGCGTCAGGCCAGGCACTCGAGTGGAACCCAGATGGAGCTCGACGAGTTGGTCATGCGTGGTGAGGGTGACATGGAGGAGATAGTGTGGTGTGAGGAAGAAATGAGAGGTTGTGGGCTGTGGTGGAACCAGGTTGAAAAGATTTCAAAGAAGAGAGTGGAGTGGAGACGTGCTAGTCAAGCCCTGTGTTCCACTAGGAACCCAAGGGACAAATAATAATATTTTGAGGGAGTTGTGGAGATTTGGAACTATTTAAAGTTGTTATTCATCGTGAGCTAACAGGAGTTGGAAATATGGACCACTGGATTCTGACCCAGTGGTGGAATGGCAACGCGCTGGCTGCGGAACATGAAGGTCGCGGGTTCGACCCCCGGTGCTACAGGGTCGTGGGTGCTTACTGCTGAGGAGTCCCATACTAGGACGAAACAGCTGTCCAGTGCTCTCAGGTTTCCTTTGTTCCTCCAACTGATGTCAGTCTACGATGAATAACAACTTGAAATAATCATAATAATCTATACAGTTAACATGTTATACCTAAACTGGATTAAAGTACATGTAAGTTATGAAGTGATTTAACATGAACAGAATTTGTCATATGAGTATTGAACTTCAAAAAGTTAACGAACTATGTGATTTCACAAAAGCTATGAGAACCGTTTACTTTACTTTCATTAGTTGTTCATAATAGAGACGAATCATTCCTCAAATTTCATTACGTATGAAAAAATAATCTTTAAAACGCTTGATACGGGGGTATAACAAGAATAGAAAAGTAAGTACTTGCGTTACAAACAATAGTCTACTGTAACCTCACATGATAGTTTGTACATTAGAAATATCACACAATGAAACAGTATGATTTATTGGATAACGTTTCGGACATAATTTATTGTCCATATTCATATCATGTAAGTCCACAACTTTCAGACATGGCTTACTTAGTCCTAATTCTCTTCCCTTCTTTGTGACAAAGGTAGTAGAATTTTTCATATATCTGGGATCTGTTCTACATGGTAAATTATATCCCAAACGTTATCGAATAAATGATGCTTTTTTTCCAATCTACTACAGTGCCCAAGTTTAATCCTATATTAATGAAAATTTGAACGCCATTTAATGAATTAGATGAGACTCTCTATGGGAAAAAAAAGTAACAAAACACACCATGATATCCACTTTTCTGCTTCAAAAAACTTAAAAAAGGTGGAAATACTGCTAAGTTCGAATCCTATTTAGCTCTACTGCATTCATTTTTTTCGAAGAAAGACAAAAATCAAATAATTTTCACAGTATAGTTGGTGACCATGATAAATTCACTGAAGCAGTATTCAATTGAAACTATAATCTCAATGCACCTGACAACATTATTCCATAGTTCCGAAGTTTACAATTTCAATCAATGAAAATTGTCATCTACTGAAACAGGACATACTAATATCGGTCTCTCTGAAATGATGATAAATAGTTTTGTCAAACATGAGTCGATACACTGTTTACCAACATTTCTTCAGAGGCTGATGAACTTTCTAGAGAGATGGATATGATAGGTTTAATTAAACATGAAACATGAAGAAAGTAGTAACAATTACGTGATTTCTCTACTGATTGATGCACAAGTTAAATACTGTTTTTTACACTGTATGCAATAAAGAGAATATGGAGACAGTTAACGCTCACAAATGAATACATAGAACTTTTATTCAAATATAGTAGGACAATGTATTAAAGTATATCTTCATGAGTAGTAAAAATTACCGATTTCAAAAACAAATAACGTTTTCTATGATAATAACAACGCCATCTACTCTGAATTTGAATTGCTGCTCTATGCCAGGACGATAACTGTCGTCTGACTAGATAACCTCGGAAATGTGACTGAAAAATTATAGCTGCTGAAGTCCGTATTAATCGCATATCTGAAGTTAATTTACGTGCATGATAGCCTCGTACATACCGTTGAATTGTTAAGCATGCCTAAAAGTTTCAAAAAAGTAACAACCAAGATTGTTAAACCATAACTATAAAGAGGCGTTAGATATAATATATGTAGGAAGGATTCAAAAGAATACAGTGGGGATTATAATAAGAAACAAATTTGTAATGTAACTTGACGATCTAAATAATAATTAGGTTTGAAAGTTTGTTTATCACAACACTACGGAGTACCACAAACCTTTATCAATCTCATTCAACAACTATATCAAGACGCCACATGCCAGGTAATTCACAATGGAAAGCTCACTGATGCTTTCGCAGTGAAGACAGAAGTAAAACAAGGCTGTCAACTACCACCCATGATATTCCTGATTGTGGTCAACTGGACTGGATCATGCAACAAACAGTGAAGAGCTGTGAGAAGAGGGGGATACACTGACTGGACCGAGGAAAAGACCATGGAAGAAGATTTGAATTTCGCCAACCATGATGATTTATGTGTAAAGTCTTGTAGCACAAACTCGAAGATCTACAGGTGAAAACTGACAAGTTGACAGAAGAGGTGAGGTAGGGCAGCGAAGACAGCACTTCCTTCACGTGAACGTAGAGAAGACAAAGGTGATAATGATAATCAACCAACAACAGCATCAGCAACAACAAGCTCCAGTCACCATCAATGGGAGAAAATTAAAGGAAGTAGCCTCCTTCACCTTCACCTACCTAGGCAGCACTGTTTCAACTACAGACAACACAGGCACAGACGACGACGTCAAAGCAAGCCAGCATCGGAAATACACCAAGACAGGCCTTCCTGCATTAGCCTGAAACCAGTATGGAGATCTTCCACATTCAGTATAAAGTGTGAATAACATCCCCATTTTCAACACCAATTCAGTCAAGTAAGTCAGTGCTTCTATGTGATGGTTGAGAAACTTGGCGCGTTGTGAAAATCATTCTCAACAAACTGCAGACATTCATCAACAACTGACTACTCTGGCTCATTACTGAAGATCAGATGGATGGCCACAATAATAAGAATAAGTAACAAGCAACTCACTCTGACTGGCTGCCTGGTGACGAACCAACGAGCCAAGAACCTATCACTCAACAAATATGCACTAGAAGGAAGTGGAGATGTATTGGGCATACACTGAGAAGGCCGACTGGGAACATCACGCATCAGGCCAAGCACTCGAGTGGAACCCAGATGGGAAGCGACGAGTTAGGCGTCCGAGGTGAGGGTAACATGGAGAAGATGTTGTGAAGAAGAAATGAGAGACAAATAACCATAATAAATATCAACAATTTTGAAGACTGACAACTTAGAGTAACTCGGAATTCATTACAAAATATCAAGTGCAGAAATAGTTCAGAGAAATGTCACTGCCAAGGTGACTTCTATTATTTCACCAATAATATAGCATCTGTACTCTATAGATACTTCATGAAGTACCTTGCAAACAATACTTGTATTCCAGAAATAAGACATCACTTCATCATTTTCAGTAACCAATTATTTTTAAAAAGCTACATTAGTAAGTGAGGTATAACATTCAGTCTAGGGAAAATATTACAAAACAGATGACGATAATCACAATCTTAAGTAAAACAACTGTGATAATCTCATGAATTCATTTTAGTAGTGTTCATCAGTTCTCTGAAGCAGATCAAGGATGAAACTTATATGTATTCTCAATTTTTCTAAAGAATATATGATCTTTATATCATTTTAACATAAATCTTAAACCTACCTGTTTTAAGTGAAGATATTTTTGATGAGAATGATAACAGCGCCAGACTTTCTGAATTCGGATAGCAGACTTATGCCAATTATCTATATTACGTTGAACAATATATCTTCGTAAATAAGATTGTATTATTGTTGCAGATGCATTCCTAGTTGCTCTCAGCTCAGCAATACGCCTACGGACTAAGAATCCTCGTGAGAAAGCTTGAAGTTTGATACACAACTAAATTTAGGAGTATAAATAAGTTAAAAAAAAAAAATGTACATCATTTTCCACATGTTTTCAAATTAATGACTATAATGGATAGTGCAGTAAATTGTATTATTAAGAAGGATTGATAACATATAGGGCCGATTCAGTGAAGAGATAGCCAAGTTTAAGGTAGTTCACAACTAAAATGATTATATATATATATTAAGCTGTAATATCAGTGTACTGACTGAGAGTGAAAGTTGTGTGTTTATCTTAAATGTTAGACTAGTCAAAAATTCAAACTTTAGATACTTTGGAAAACAGGAGAAAGAAGAAAAATCAAGTGGAATTTTATTATGAGGAAAATAAAGTTGCAGTTCGATGAAAACTAGCAAAGCAACCTTATTCTGCGATAGATAACTAGAATTATCTGACTGTTAACTGTAGATCTGATTCATGGTGAATTAAAACGAGCAACTATACTTTTGGGACAACTATATACTCATTTTATATGAACATAAAAAGAAAGAAACTTTTCTAATACTTAAGTTAACCTTTTAGTTAAATCAGATTGGCAATAGATATTGTCGGTTTTTCTGAAATTCCTTTATAAAAGTTAAACCAATGCTAGATATTCTCTTAAATGCTTTCGCAGAGTAGTGACTTAGTAGCATCCTCCAAAGAAATCTTTATTCACTGTCTATACGTTTTCTCTCTACTTATCAATGCTCCTTTGAGTGAACCAGTATGTTAATTATGTTACTTTATTGATTATAGTAATTAGAAGATTGATATACACCTATTAGGTATATTCAAGAGATAATCCTAAAAGGTGAATTAAATGTTCAGTTTTTATTCAACGGAGAAACATGTCGACAAAAAGATGAAGTAACTTGGTTTCTTACTTCTTGACTGTTTCATGGTTTATGTATGGTTGAATACCTTGCAACTGACTATATATCATTTTGAAGGGGGAGGAGCGGGAGGGGGGGGGTTAAAAGCGATATACCAATAATATTTTCATCGTTGGTGATAAAAAAATTGACTGAAATAAAATTCTGCAGATGTTAAATAACACATTTATTGGTCATTGGAGAATAACCAATTTCATGTTGTCTAGTTCTGAGTGTTGACCGAATCCTGCCGATCACTTTGCAATATGATCATCAAAGTAGGACATTACCTATCATAGTGTACTTGGACAGATGCTAGTTAGATGGAGGTCACCGGTAGGAAGACTTGCTTGACTTAGGCTTCCTGTTCGCTGGCACTTGTCAGCAAGGCATATTTGTAATCTCGAGGGAGTTGATTTCCCTTAAGAGATTTGAATCCGCGTCACCCACAGCTATCGTTAGAGACATCCAGTTCTACGACAGGCCAAAAGAATAGCTTTTTAATAATGCTCATTCTTCCAGTAGTCGACTAGGTAAATATCGATTTACCATAACCCAAATAAAACGGTGAATCTACAAAGTTTTACAGTTTCGTCCTTATGAGCGGAAAAAGGGATCTCATTGCCTTTCTAGCTAGAGAAATAAATCGCATATGCACAGAAGAGACACTAGACAAAAAAAATTGGGAATCTGCAAAAAGACTCTGACTCAAAAGGGATATTCAAGTTTATTCGTTGATATATAGATGAAATATAAACCTGATATTCAATCTGAACTCAAAGGAAGTACAGTAAGTTAAGTTCTGCAAGTAGTTCGAAGAATATTCTTTGCACCACCCCTACGTTTTACTTTCTCCAAACAAGCTTTTATTCTTCTGTTATTAGCAATACTCATGTGAATATAAATTTACTTGCTCTCATGGAGATAAGTACATGGGTTGTACCAGCGGGATACTGCCAATATGTTCTCGTAAGCATTCACCGATATGGCTATCGAGAACACAATCCAGAATGATAAATGGTTCTACTTCGGAACACATATTGTTTTATCAGGTGACGTAGCATCTATATGTGACTAATTCGATGTGAGACCAAACCATTCGAAAGGATTTCGATCGAATCTTCGTTGTACCGAAGTCCTGACTATTCACAAAGAGGATCCTAAGCTCTGTGTACATAAGCGTTCTTCTCAGTCTTTTGCTACCATGACTTTAGTTTCACTATTCTTTCGTTGTTGCTCAATAATTTCCTCTTCAATTTACTTTCATTCCTTTTATTATAGGCTGATTTCATTAGTTGAAATCTTTCTCGATTTCTTATGTATTATCATAAAGCAGTGAATTGCAGGGATGATTATGACTTAACAGCCACCGAGTAACTGTCGAGAAACCTTCTAAGAACTTCGCGAGCACGAACGCCCGACAAGAATATTTCAGGGATATTCTAAGAAGTAAATAATGAAAATAAACAGAACTGACCTTCTTGTCACTACACCACCTATTGACAGGCGTTCACTAGCCTTATAGCAGACAAAACGTAAGCTCTTCGGTCACCTTGTAAATGTGAACCTCGCACAACGTAGTGTATGTCTGTTTCTCATACTCCTTCAGGACGACTTTCACAGACTCTAAGGACGGAAATGCAGCGACACAAAAACGCTCCATAACAGCGATTCGTTTACGGTTACAACACTTTGGACGGTATCGTCGCTCATCATGAAATGAAGCAACTCGTCCTCAGTTTGCTCCCTTTTATAGTACCTTTGGATTTCGTGCAACCAATAACATGAGACATTTCATCGTCTATTTTAATTGGACAATAGGTGACACAGGGAGTGAGGGGGAAGGGGTAGAAAATAACAGTTTAAAAAAAATTAATACCGTGGACCAAATGTATTTCTAGATTCTTGTTCCTTCATCCATCTGAGCTTTATTCATTGTTCTGAGTTTGCATAATTTTGTTAAGTAACATTGATATGGTAACTCATGCATTATGCGACTTTCATCTTCCACATATTTTGTTATTATCTGACGTTAACCTTTGACATTTGGTTAGCATTTTTCATAATATTTTAAAACTTCTATCTAACTGTACAGTCAAGAAAAGTGTTTTAAGTTTAAATGAAATAGGTATGTTTAATGCCTTCTATGTTATTGGCTGAACTGTTTTGCCAATTTGGACTGAATTCAAAAGTTTGGATAGTGTTTCATTAACCTAGTGCTAAAAAAAAACCAGAGTCAAGAATGCAAAGTAGTTGCGTAATAAACTAAGACAGTAGAAATATCAAGGAAGGCAAGGAGTTTTGACAAGGTGAAAATTGTTGGTAGATAAGAAACGCAAATATTGAGTATCCACTTGATAGATAGATGGATGTAAAGAAGGTGAAGAATGAGACAAGGGTCATAATGACGGTGGATAATAATAAACTAGTTAATTATAATGAAATCGAAAAAACGTGAAAGTGTTAAGACCACAGTAAGATGAGAGATTGAATATACTTCTTTTGCACGCAGAGATCAGGCTTGAATTGATGAATTGACAGTGCCTCCGCTGTGTACAACTGTCGAAGGCCTACTCCTTTTGAACTATTCCATCTGACACGATAAATGACACTGAAGGAGGATTCTAGTCGATCTTTATGTCCAGAGTTGACCAAATGTTCAAAAATTGAACTGTTAATTGATTCATATTCTCCCCTCGACAACCATGCAAGATAGTGCTCCGAGATAGGTTTGGAAAGCGTGCGCTGTGTGTTTATGATATATATATAAATACGATTGTACAGCTTTAGAAAATGATATCGTGGAAAAAGAAAATTTTCTTCGCTGAAATATCATGTACTATTGATTTCGTGATCATTGTTATTTATTACGGATTTTTTTTTATTGACGTACATTCGCAAGCTGTACGAAAACGGTATGCTATGAATATGTAAAAATGGGTATACAGAGTACAATTTCTGGTAACAGTTTTACCACGGATAATAACATAATGAACCAGAGAATATTATGAATACAAAATCATGTAGAATAAATTACCTGTTTCATTAGTGCATAACTTCGAAATGCTAAGTAAGAACGCCAAGTACTTTGAATCAAAACAGCTGATTTGTGTAAACGGCTAACATAACGTCGAGTCAAAAATCCACGAATATAGGATTGTATCACTGTTGCAGCAGTATTTCTCATACACCGAATCTCTCCAACATATTTACGAACAAGATAACCACGTACATATGCCTGAATGGTAGTGGACGCCTGGAAAAATAAGTTTTAAAAGAGTATAGATGTGTTGCTTATCACTCCATTTTAAAATTGGCTTATTTTTACGCTGTAAGAATACATTTTATAATTGTAGAACCTGATGAGAATATATTGAAAAGAATATTTTTCGTTTCGATTGTTGCGTTTTATTAATATGTGAAACATTATTACCACGAGAAAACAATAGGAAGAAGTATTGGCCAAAGATGTGGGGTGTTTTTGCGGTACCTTACAACTGATTGGCTGATAAAATTGACTTAGAACTTCTTACACGGATGCATCAGATCAAGTTGTCACACTCCACAGTAGTAAACAAGGAATAGGTGGATAGAAAAAAAGTGACAAAGTTATGTAAGACAACAAAAAACGGTTAGTGTAAATACTCAAGCTTTAGGTGTCGAGCAGTGAATACATCTACGCCACTGCAACCGATTTTCAGCCATTTCAACTACAGTTCTCAACCACTCATTCCTTTTGTCGTGAGGACGCCAACCAGGCAGTCTACATCTCCCAACACGGCTCACACCAACAGTCAGGGACTTCATGAACTGATGCCACATATTGATCTGGGTACCCTGGACCCTACTGCAACCTAATACAACTTTTTTTAAACATGAAACGTTGAGGTAGGCGGTGGCTTGGCGTGTGCAGTACATGTCCAAGTCGACTAAGATTCACAACCTCATCAATCGACTTGAATGTCTTGCCTAGTACCCAACACCTGACCTCGACATTTCTCAAACGGTGATTCCACCAAACGAAGACATATGTGGTCGAAACCCTGTAATCGCTCTATGTCTTCCACTTTTAACGGCTATTTCTCACAGCCGTACGACAGGACGGATTGCAGCATAGTATGCTGGTCCTTTGATAGATAGTCGGATATCTTGCCAGTCGGCGCTACACGTGATACAAATAAGCGAATACCAAACGGGTATTCTGTATTCGAGCTGAGATTTCGTCAGTAGCCGACCCATTCGGGCTGATGCAACTCCTCAAGTGACATGATAGTATCAAGAAACTATCTTACACTATAGTAAGAATCTATGACTATGCGAATTGAAAGAAACGCAGGAAACTGTGCAACGATGGTTTTTTGTCCACATCAAGTGAATGCTTTTTTTGACATGAGATTGCAGTTGACGACAGAAATACACGGCATAAAATACGAATATTCAAAGGTAGAAAATTCATATGCTAATAACAAATATATTAGAAATTAGCACCGTTTATGTTTAGTCAGTGTTACCACTATATGTTTAAGATTTTTATAATTCATTGTCAGCGAAAACAGAAGTAAATTACAGTAAACAAAACAGTTATTACAACAGTTACTCAACGCTGACATTGCATGGCGGTTGCGCTATATCGTGAACTAACGAGAAGTTGGAAATATGGACCACTGGATTTGATCCAGTGGCTCAATGGTAACATGCTGGCTACGGAACTTGAAGATCGTGGGTTCGATCCCCAGCGGGGTCGTGGATGCGCACTGCTGAGGAGTCCCATACTAGGACGAAACAGGTGTCCAGTGCTCCTAGGTTTTCTTTGTTCCTTCGACTGATGTCAGTCTACGATGAATAACAACTTGAAATATTAATCAATCAAGAAATGCATAACATACAGTCGTGAAGTATATTAGACTTGCAAATTATTATGATATTATTTTGAGCCATCAGATATTATTACCACTACTCAATTTAAGTGAAAGGATGAAAGTATTAAAACTTGTATATGAAAAGAACTGAGACATAATATACACTATATGTAACAGAAAATTAGTGATAAAATGTCAATAAAATATGAAGTAATTAAAAGACAAAACAATAAAAAGTGATCTTTAAATCAGATATTAAATATTCACATATAAGTAGAAATGTTTTCCTACTTAAAACGAAAATAAATGATAAAGATGAGGTTGAACTTATCAGACAACAGTAATTATTATTACTATTATTATTTTCATCAAAGGAAAAGAAAGTTATTGGATGTTATCTTCCCTTTGAAAGATGATGACTATAAGACACACTAGTCATTAGTTAAATGGATTACCAACTCTATTCAGTTAAAATAATCATTGCATAGACGGTGAGAAATTCGACATATTAAAGTGAAATTTCTTTTTAGACAATTCTTTTAGTTGACAAGTTTAAATAGATTGATAACAACAACAACAACTTTATCACAATAGCAAAGATCCATTTTATTTCGCGGTTTTTCATCAGTTGTTTACAATATAAAGTAGTTTTTATATCAATTTATACAAACTATTCGTATACTTGAATCGATTCTATAGGAAGATTATCCGCTAGAAATAAAGATAATATTTTCTCAAGTCAGTATTCATCATGGATTGACATCAATTGAAGGAAACTTTGGAGCACTGGACAGCTGTTTCCTCCTAAAACAGGACTTTTCAGAAGTGCATACCAATGACCTTCACATTTAGTGGCTAGCATATCACCATTGAGCCACTGGGTCGGAATCCAATGGTTCATATTCCCAGCTTCTGAGAGTTCACGACATAGTGCAACCATCACCCAGTGTCACCGTAAAGTATTTGTCTTCATGGTCACCAGGTTCGCCCCACTGGTAGCTATTTCTCATTGGATCTCTATGGTGAATACCAACATCGAATCGATAAATCTCCACAAACCTCCAAATTTAACTAATCTAGTGCTCACTAATGACTAGCTTCGAGAGATGATTCCTGAAGTTCCAATGCGAGGTCGTGACCAATGGGGCAAACTTGGTGACCATGAGGACAAATACTTAACGGTGACATTGGGTGATGGTTGCACTATGTCATGAACTCATAGAAGTTGGAAATATGAACCACTGGATTCCGACCCAGTGGCTCAATAGTGCCGTCATGGGTGCGCACTGCTAAGGAGTCCCATATCAGGAGGAAACAGCTATTTAGTGCTCGCAAATTCTCAATGTTTCTCCAGTTCATGTCAGTCCATGATGAATACCAACTTGAAAGATCACTAAATCCCCATAAACCCTCAAATTCAAAAGATAACACCGATATGACGTAATTGAAGATGCGAATTGAGTGAATAAATATATAAGAATCAATAGTAAGTTTGCCAATATACAGAAAAATCAGATGAATATTCTAGAGTGGTATTTGGATAAACGAGTATTTATGACTGTCCGTTTGAGCATATTCCAAGGAATTTAGAATTAAGAGGTGGAAAAGTCTTCAATAGCGTTATTGGTTGTAAACTTATTGATAGTGGAAATGAAGTTAATACCTAGAAATCGTTTAAAATGATCAAGTATTCAGAAAGATACTGTTGTCAATCTAGCATTACCATGGTAATTTTAATCTCTTAAATTTGTAAACACAAGATTTCATGAGTTGTATTCACTTCATTGCTCAATGTAATGAAGACCTATTTGAAGGTTTATTACGCTTATTTAACCATGATATCCATTTTTACCAATTCTAGAATAACACTGTGTACAACCCCGTCCTATATATATATACATATATACTACTACTCAAAGGTTAAATATTTATAGTAATAAAATGTACATTCATTTTATCACTGTATAAATAGTTAACCTTTGAGTAGTATTAACAACTTCATTAATATCAGTCAGCCTAAATCTTTGTTACCTTCCAGCTCAATTCGAAAAATCGAAATGTCGATTTATTAAAGTATGTTGTTGAACGTATAGTTCATCATTCACATATTCAATAGGTTGTAAAGCCGGTGAGGAGAATCTATTAAATACGTGTATGCTAATTCTGTTACTATTGTTCTTCTTGCTTTATTCGAATTCGTGAAAGGGAAGAAAAACTTTTGTGTTGTTGACTTCATCATTACTATTTATCGATATACTTGTTATTCTCCGTTGTTTTGTTGGATAGAATTGTTCGACCTCTATTGACATATGGGCTCCCATGCGGATGCTTCGATATTGCCTGAATGTTAATTATGATAACTTGGTTGGTTATGGCTGGCAGACGCGCTTTTTGTCCTATTTGGGACTCGTCAGCTGGATGTACCTGTATCCCAATGATGTTGTTCCCACAGACACTGGAATCTCGTACCTATCGCTTCAAACGCCGCTTCTTGTACAACGGATGGTAGTTATTACTATTTATTGACATACTTGTTATTCTCCATTGTTTTGTTGGGTCGAACCACAACCAACCAAATTATCATAATTAACATTCAAGCAATATCGAGGCATCCGCATAGGAGCCCATATGCCATTTGAAGTCGAACAGTTAGATCCAACAAAACAACGGAGAATAACAAGTATGTCAATGAATAGTAATAACTATCACCTGTTGTACAAGAAGTGGTTATCGTTCATCTGTGGCATAGTGGATGACGCCTTGGCGTTTGAAGTGATGGGTACGAGATTCGAGTGTCTGTGGGAACAACATCACTGGGATGTAGATACATCCAGCTGACGAGTCCCAAATAGAACGAAATGCGCATCCTAGATTCTTCTGCTAGCCACAACCAACCAAATTGTCATAAATGCCATTCATCATGTTTTTATATATAGTTATTGATCCATACACATTTGTTGTTACCCTATTTCACACCCTTAACCTAATAATCGGGATTCTATCCATTTTATTTTCTTAACTAATGTAATTTTATGCAACTTTTCTCAATATGTTGAATACATTTATCTCATTCTACATTCTCTCCACTTCCACTCTAGAATATTCGCTTAATCCTTTTAAGTATGAACAAACTTACCATTAGTTGTTATATATTTATTCACTCAGTTCGCGTCTTGAATTATGTCACACCAATGCTTTCTTTATTTCAAATTGATTCAATCAAGTATACAAACATTTTTCATAAATTCATGTTATAACTGCTCTATATTGTAAGCAGCTAATGAGAAATCGCAAAACAAAATGGATCCATGATACATTGATAAAAATATTGTTCTTGCTCTATTTAAAATATTTTTACGACACTGTGAGATTCGATGATATGATGATCCATTTTAGTCTGTTTATTAGATGCATCACACATGATATGAATATAGACAATAAATTATGTTAGAGACGTTCGTTATCCAGTAAACAACACTGTTTCACTATGTGATATCTAATAAACAGAGTAAAATGGAATTACAATCTACCACAGTGATGAAGTTTTACTCATATATTAATAAAATAATAACATCCATAGTAATGATATCGGGTTTTTTCAGAAATCAAGTGTAGTAACACTTCAAAGTGGCTAAAAATAAAATGAAGGAGCAACCATATTGTATCATAATCTCGGTATGAGAAGGTATAATCAAACATCATTTGCATTGAGCACTGTTACCTAAGAAAAGGAAATAATAACTACATAAACGTCCATAGACTATAATGATAAGCATTTATCTTACGAGAAGCAAAAGGATATCACCTAGATTATTCAGATTAAATGGTGTACACCAATAGTTAAATTAGTGAGAAGACATTCCTAAATCAGGTTGATGTAAAATGAAAGTTTATGGTTTATGTATGAATTCCTCAAGATTAAACGGTCAACTGTGAGACAACAGCAGTAAGGTTTCGTATGAAGCATCTATGAACCTCGCCTGGTTAACTAGTTCACTAGTTACTAGCTAGTCCTAAGCCCCGACAAACAGGGAAGGTTGGGCATAGGACTAGCAACCCTACCCCGGAAAACCAATCCAACCGCTAAACAAACTTCAAAGCACAAACAAAATTATTCCTCGCTGGAATCAGAGAGGCGAAATGATGCCGCTTGGTGAAAGCCTTCAGGAAGCCAATTGGCCGATGTGTCTTCTCTCCCTCAATGAAAGCAAAAGTAAACGTGGGGACATGGAATGTCCGCACCATGTGTGAACCCAGCAAGCCAGCCCAGATTGCAAACGAGATGAGAAGATATCACATTGAAGTGTTAGGAATGAAGCATTTATGAAGAGCTTACAATATACGAAACTTTTCAATCAAAACTGAGATTATAATGTAAGAAAATATGAAAATAAATGGTAATTAGGATATGAAGACTTTGTAAACCTACTTTGATCATCTTTCTTTGCAACCTCCATTCCCTGAAATACATAAAAGCAAAGAAAACGAAAATAAGATGTGTGTGTGCATATTAAAGAATGCTCTACGAAGGTACGAAAAGAGGTCAAGGCATCGAGAAAAAGTCAAATGAAATAAATCCAAGAAGTTTTCGTTAGTTCAGTGTTTAGAAATAAAAGATAGAAAATTCAGTGCAACCATTAGTGGGCCAGACTCTAAACTACATCTGATAAAATATGACATAATTGAGTAGCACCATTTCTTGAATTCTATTCAGCGAGTTATGAAGTAGCCTTATAGCACAGTTTTAAAAACAGATTATTTCTTTACTGTGTTCAACATGCTTCAAAGTCAGCAGACAATGAAGATCAAGGAAACCTATCAAACAGTATACATAAGACTAAGTCAGTCAACAGAATTTGATGTTTCAAGATGACTTTTATCACTGAATGACAATCTTCATTTCATCTAAACATTCATTGTTAGATGAGAACAGTTCTACAGGAGTGACGTTAAATGTACACGATCGTCGGAGATTCTAACGAATGAAATGGTAGGTCTTATAGGTAGCTGAAAGCCTTGTTTTTCTTCACTTTCATTTATATTTCCACAACTATTCAATCATGTAAAATTATTAACATTTCTCAAGTAAAAATGAGTCAGGATACAGGCTGCTGCCAATATTGTAAAAGTCCTTTATACTTTGAAGGTACAAAGAAGATATTATACTTACAGACAATGATTTCTGGTTGATTGAGTGAGATTTGTGTAGTTTACATGTTGTTGCATATTATGGTGATTTAGCACACTTACTCAACACTTAATAATGCTTCTTCTGGTAACACATTTATACGATCACTCGTGTGCACCTTTTTTGTGGCTGTTTAAAGAATATCATCGACAAGCAGGAAATAAAACCTTGTTTAACCCTTTCGATATGTAAGAACAACTACGAGATATGTAGTCAAATGTTCTCATCCTGAGATGTTTTTGTATAGGAGTTAAAAAGTGTGAAAATTCTTTCATGAATGTTTCGCATTCACTAACCGACAATTAAAAGTACGTTATGGTTCAACAGATCAAAAACAGCTCTAATAGCCTGCAGTTTTCTTGAAAGCTTTCAAACACTTAACGAGAGAGTGGAGACATGCTCAATACGTTCACAACCTGAATAGAACCCATGATGCCCCAATATGAGTTAATTATTTACGCATTTTACTGATTACGAAAGGTAGAGTGATAAGGTACATAATTTACCACATCATTATTAGTTGGGAAGCTCAAATAAAAGAATGACTTAATGTACAGTCATTTTCACATTGGTTCACATCTCACAATAAACTAATATTAACTGGACATCATAAACACAAAGAAAATGATACCTAAGACTTGTAAGACCTTAAAAGCAACCATTAATTAAGTACAGGTTGCTCTTGAATACTTTTCAAATGATATATATATATATATATATATATATACTAACCAAACATAAGTAACTGGTAAGAAGGTTGCGATTTGCCATAACATTACCTTCCATAGGGTACTAATTTAAACTGTGAGAATTTCATATGATCTTGAAAACGGCGCCATGAGTTCTGAATAATACGTGCAGCGTTGTCACGAATAAGCAGGTCCAACTTATGTTTTTCCGAAGGACTAATGACCAGCCTGTTAACTAGATAGGCCAGAGTAGTTAAAACTAAGCCTGGCGGAAGAATACTATCCACACTAACCACTGAAGTAGGCTTCGACATAAAGTTAGGAAAAAGGAGTGGGACATCACCTAGGATTGAAAGCTAGATAACAGACAAAACAGGAGAGTTGAATATTAGGATAAGATAAATATATTTTTCAAACCAAGTTACTGTCATAAAGAAACTGTTAGGCGTAAGTATGAACCAAATTATGAATCAAATGCAGAGGAACACTGAACTTTTGGAAGGTATAGCTAGATAAACACTAAGTGCGAATGAAACACAGAATCACAGATGAGTATGACATATTGCATAGTTCAAAGACTTTTGATGAGGCAGCTACACCATACGACTATAAAGACAATTTCTAAAAATATTACTGTAAGCCATAACATGTATTTTTAAAGGTTTCAAGCACAGATGGCTTAGGTGAATATAATGCTGAGCTAAATAATATTACTCACCAATATGAAACCATATTTGCAGAAAATACACCGAAGCTTTTATTTATATTCTCGGCATGTGCATCCCCTGTGACACTAGTGTAATGTATACATACTTCATAAGATCGGAACTACATGGTTCAGCTGTTTTTTTTTGCTATTCTCCAACTGTTAACACCAAAGCATTAGTGTTGACAATAAGTTCGGTTTTCTTTTAAGCGAAAATAGGTTCTCTTACAAAGTTACTTAATCCAGTCATAAAAACTTTCCCAATCAATAGATGGGTACCATAAGAGGAAAGTGTGACACTCATAGATCGATATGATTAGAATACACTGTGAGTTTCGTAAGTGACAAAGAGACAGATATCAAATAAAGACCCAACAGTACTGTACCTCTCTCAGTAGAGAAAAAAAAACTTAAGCCAACAAAAATAAAGGCTGAGAAATTAAATAATATATCAAAGGTTGAAGGAAAGATGAAGTAAGTAACGAAATGAGATATTATGACTGAAAAGATGAGGATGAATGCATCTGCGTTGCTGCATTGAATTTCGAGTCATTTTACTACTAAGTAGAGTAGAAATAGTTCAAAGAAGTAGCATGGGAAAAAATAAAGTATGACAATATTGATTGCTAGTGTACACATTATGAAGAACTGTGAACTAATAGGGAAGTATTATTCAATGAATATTGAACAGATAAAAGCATAATAAAGAATGGTACAGACTTCACAAAAGTATTTATTTCTCAAATCTTTTGTCTTATTTTTTTTCCAAAATCTCAGATGATATCAATTTATGTAAATTTAAAGGTAAGCGAGCTATAGTATGCACAAAACACTTATGCTGTTTCATGATAGGGCAGTGGGAATTAAAAGTATTCTAGGATAACCATTTGATAACTACTTTGCATGCACCAAAGATTTTTCATATTACTTGTTCATTCAATGAATTCATGTATGAAGTCTTAAATAGTAGTTTTTTTCAACTATTTACAAATATTTGTCTTAACATTGGTTGGAAAGTAATACATTTGGAATCTCAATTGACAAATGGATCCAAAAATCAAAATAATGGATCGAAATATAAAACTCAAGTGGAATCCAAAAGGGAAACGACAAGTTGGGCATCCAAGGCAAGGGTGACATAGAGGAGACGATGTGAGGAAGGAATGAAAGCTTGTGGGCAGTTGTGGAGCGAGGTTAAAAAGACTGGAGAAAAGAGAGTGTAATGAAGGTGTGCTACTGAAGCTCTATGTTCCACTAGGAACCTAAGGGAAAAATAATAAATTATAATAAATTGATAATTTATTATCAGTGATTATATAAGATTTGAATCAGGAATTTCTATGAAACTAAATGAAACATGAAAGAAAAATGTATAACATACTTTTTTTTGAAATAACGATAGATTGAACAAATTATTTCGTATAAGTAGGGAGTTTGGAATAGGAACAGAAGACTTGGGAGTATGTGTTGTACATTGACGAATTAAGCCTTGAGGTAGAATGGTTGGTAAATAATGATGTAATAGGTAACATAAAGCTCGTCCATCTGTAAACGACTCATCTAAGCTAGTAATCTATAAAAAAAAAGTGAAAATGATAAAATAGCAATATCAAGTTTAAAAAGATATATATAAATTAATAACAATTTGACTTATAAGCTAAGAAAATTAACCTACAGTGATAAAATACAATATACATAGATGTCTATGATCATATCAGGTTATTTACAGATCAGCAACATTGTAATATCGAAGAGATAAAATCTTAATTCCCAAATAGGACGAAAATGCGCATCCTAGATTCCACTACTACCTACTTCCCATCATTATTATACATAATTAAAACAAAGGTAAATATCGAGGCATCCACACAACAGCCCATATCCCAACAAAGATTGATCAATTCGGTCCAATCAACGACGGTGTAATACCAAGTAATAACACTAAATCTATAACAGTAGATGAACGTTGACAGATTAATTTGGTGAAATGTATTCACAAATTTAAGTATGTCAAGATATAAAGGATGCTTATAGATTTGATTAACTGGGTTAAATATTCCTTTAAACTAAGTTTTGTTGTCAGCGTATTCGTATTACCTATATAGAATAGAATTACTTAGACGATAATTGAATCCAATACACTGTTAATTTAGATTGTCAACATTTATTCTATCTCAAGGTGTTATTTATTATACAGTGAAGTTAATTGGAAAATCATTGAAAGCCTGAGAGAACTGAACAGCTGTTTTGTCGTGATATAGAACTCTTCTCAACGTTGAACACCCATGATCTTTCCAGGAATCGAACGAAAGGCTTTCAGGTCTAACATCAAGCATGTATTTATTCAGTCAACACTTTTAACAGAAAACCTTCAAATAGTGATATCAGGCATGCTCATAATATTCATGGAGAACAGAATCAGCAGTGAATCCGATGTTTACTTCCGTTAGACTTACATTTATAATATTCTTTTTGTAGAGAAAAGTGAATAAAGGTTATTTATACTCAACTAAAATTGAAAAATTCATGAAAATGTAGATAAAAACGAAAATCATAAATCTTCTACAAAAAAATACTAAGGAGTGAATATTCTGGAGTAGCCTAAATCTGTAATAACATGTTGCATGAGAAGTCTGTATAGAAACTTTCCAACATGACAAACAATATTCTGTACTCCTATTATAAAATGAATTGAAATCTGTGTCAGATACATATTTATGTAACAGACATTATATATATATATATATATATATATATATATATATATATATATATATATATATATATATACGTATAACATCTTAAGCATAGTTCATATTTCTTAACCATTGAGTTGGAAGTGATTGTATTTTGACTGAATGTATGGAAACTTAGCTTTCCTCTAAATACTGAAGCATAGTTTCATGAGAAAACTTGATGTGTTACATTTAATCAGTTATTATATTATTATTTCTTATTTTTCCCTTGGGTTCCAGGTAGAACATATGGCTTCAGTAACAAGTCACCACTCCACTCTCTTCTCTGCAATCTTTTCAACCTGGCTCCACCACTCCACACAACCTCTCATTTCCTCCTCTCACAATCTCCTCCATGTCACCCTCACCTCGGACGCCCAACTCGTTGCTTCCCATGGGGGTTCCACTCGAGTACCTGGCCTGCCTGACGCGTAATGTCCCCAATCGGCCTTCTCAGTGTATGCCCAATCCAATCATCTCCACTCTCGTCTTCTGCATATTTGTTCAGCGATAGCTTCTTGCTTTGTTGGTTCGTCACCAGGCAGGCAGGCAGGCAGCCAGTCAGTCAGAGTGAGTTGCTTGTTGCTTATTCTTATTATTCTGGCCATCCATCTGATCTTCAGTAAGGAGCCAGAGTAGTCAGTTGTTGATGAATATCTGTAGTTTGTTGGAAATCCTTTTCGTAACGTCTCAGAGCCATACAGAAGCACTGACTTGACGTTGGTGTTGAAAATCCGGATGTTGTTCACACTTTATGCTGAGTGCAGAAAATCTCTACACTGGTTTCAGGCTAATGAACGCCTGTCTTGCTTTTCCTGTTAGAAATCAATGACCAAGCTCACAAATAGGGTGAAAATATGAAGAACTGATACATTTCGCAAAAATCAAAGTATTAAGTTCTGTGAAGAAATATGAAGGAGTTAGATATTAAGCTTGTACTAATAATGTATTATTATCTAAGAAAGCGAAGTTTTAAATAAACCAAATAGCCGGTGAAAATATAAAACCATACAAAATGTTATACTAGTTCAAGAGGTGTAGGTTTGGACACTACACAAAAGAGTGAATTATTCTTAGGAGTATATTGTAGTAGAATGACATTTGAAGGAAGTTTATAGTTATGCGGTGGTTAAAATTTACCCATAACATGTGTATTTGTAGACTTGAGAAAATTATCACCTTTTGATAGATTCAAGCTTGTACAGTTGATTGGTGTAATTGAAAATGTGACAAATGAGAAACTAGAAAGAAAGTAACAACTACAGTATGATACTGAATACTATTTGAAAGTTGGCTTTTATTAGATGGGATAAAAATGAAGCTTTGAACTAATTGTAAATAGTTTCATTTGACTCTCTTTAGTAAACTCCATATTACTGTTCATTGAGTATTCGTTATCCCTGAGTCTCATTTTCTATGTAGGGGAATGTTTTATCTCATTGATAATCTTAATTTCATAATCTTAATATAATTTGAGTATGTATATTTACTAGTCAGTAAATAAGTTAACCTTTCAATAATCATTCAGTTTGACGTCAAATAGTCACCATAGGATCACAGGGAGACAACTATACTAAATTGTATGCTAATGTATTGAGTAAGGTTGAATAATCCAGTTAAGTAGATATTACCACTTTAATAGTTTCATTCGTCAACAAGTTACAGTTACAATGGATGTGCTCAATAAGGGTTGGGAAGAATCACTCAAATACTTTTAATAGTGACCACTTCAAACTGAAGCCTAAAGATGAAATGCTAAAATATCAGAAGAAGGATGTGTTTACTTATAGTCATTAAGCATAAACAGTCCTCTTTCCATAAATCGAAAATCTCAACTGGTGCTGACTTAGAACGAAAAACTGCTGCTTTAAAGAAAGTGATACAAGTGATACAATGTTAAGAATACTGTGAATTGAACAAGATTTATGCAATCCATCTGGAAACAATTTTTACACTTAGATTTATATCTTGTTTACATGATCATTTTCAAATCTTGTTATACGCTTCTATTGCTTGTTTTATCCATAATTTAATAGATAGGTTACGATTATGAAGTAAGTATGAAAGAAAAGCTATACAGAGTAGAACTTTTCTACAGATATCTAAAAGGAAGAAGAATTATTTCCTATGAAGTTTTGCAGTTTATGCAACTAGGTCACTAAGTGTCGATTTGATGAATAAGGCTAGCACATATGAAGATTAAGTGTATCATAGAGCGCTATAGACCTTGGTGGGTATAGCTAAGGTCAAACTAACAAACCAGAATGAAATAAATTACTCAACAGTTTGGAGGTAACTAAACATTTAACTGAAGGTATATAGTCAAGACGTAAGAAGTTGAAGTAGCTCGAAAACCTATGAAGCTTTAAAAATTGAAACTTTCTATCTGATGATAATTAACTTTCGCTTGAATTCACGTCAATGAACTACAATAAATCGAATGTAGACTTACTGGCACATCATACAGACGACAAATTAAACAAGCCCAATACAGTAATTTGAAGTGAGCAACATGGTTTTTGTCTTCCTCTTCATCATTGTTTTCAACAGTATCAGGCTGAAAACGAATCACTTCATCTATATTTTTACTGATTGAGTTTACTTTTATTTCTAGAGTTTGAATTTCAGTTTCTAATGCAGAATGATCAAGTAAGGCAAGAACTTGATAACGTAGCAATAAACACCAAAGTAATGTAAGCGTTTTTTCACGATGTCCATCAACAATATCACGAGGATCTATTTGGCTTCCTATAAACAGCAAAAGTATATTAATTAAAAATATAACTTATTGAAAGCAATTGAAACCTATCATCAAGCAGTTGATAAGCCCATTAAGATACAAGGCAGGATGAAAAAAAAACAAATCTAAATGATATAATCGAAAATCATAGCTGACCGTAGAACAAAGAGAAAACTGATTAAAGCAATTATGATGGTATGATACAATAGTTGAAATGAAGAAAGTATGGATGCAACTGTGCCACTGAGATATATTCTAAGCTATATCGCAACAAAAAGTAATCAATCATCAGTTCTAGTTCTCATGTGAAACCTAGTTTGGAGGCCTGCATTTTCACCCACAGTATATATATATATATATATATATATATATATATATATATATATATATATATATATATATATATCAGTAGGCCAATAGTTACCGTCCTTTTTTTTCCACTTGGGAAAATTTATTACAACTTTCGCTTCACATGACTGTCAGATATACAATAAAATAAAAATTCACATGACTACTTATTACATACACATTTAACTTGATCACTTTCAAGAAAAAGTACATGATGAAGTGAGTCATCATGTAAGTAACCACTTGCAGTTTAAAAAGTAAAATTATCCCATAAGAATATTTGGCATTAGTTGAGTAACATACATCAATGTCTACGATTTAGTGTTAAGGCAATAACAATGCTTTATCGAGTACGATGAGGCCACTCACTAAGTGCCCCGATTAACTATTGAGTTTTTTTCTTCAAATGGTGTACAAAACAACGCGCTGGTTATCAGTATACACCCTGGCATAGATACTAACATAAGTCACAGTGTAAAGATGCACAACGAAAAGAGGAACTCAGTACAACGTATAAAACACTGGACAAAAAAGTGAAGAAGAGTACACGTAAAGACAAAACACACTTCTACAAAACACTGGCAAGTGAAGCACAACAGGCTGCAGCTAGGCGAGACAGATACCCGACAACATTGTATCAGTATCAAATAACCAGGTCACTCACTATATGGCACAGAAGACATCAACACACGTGAAACCAATAAAAGATGATGATGATGATGGAAATTTAATTACCAAAGAACAGAAACAAAAAAAACAATGCGCCGATCACTTCAATCGACCAACACCACCACCACCACCACCTGCACTTCGTTCACATATACCACCTGCAGTCCCAAAACTACAAGTGAACATAAATCCCCCAACAAAAGTCGAAGTCCTCAACTCCATACAGCTACTGAAATATGGGAAAACAGCAGGACCAGATGGAATCCAGCCAGAAGCACTGACAACAGAAGCAGACACATCAGCAGCGAACATGCTCACACAACTATTGCAGAAAGTCTGGAAAAAAGGGAAGGTAACTGGCGATTGGAAGAAGGGTTACCTTGTCAAACTCCCGAAGAAGGCACACCTAAGTCTTTGCAAAAACTGCCGCGGAATCACGCTCCTGTCCACCAAAAGCAAGCAAAATATTAAGCCGCATCATTCTGGAGAGAGAGGCTAAAGGATGCACTGCATTCAAAACTACGACCACAACACCTTGCCTGCATTCACGAAGTACAAATCATCTGCGCATCAAAGTGAAACGCAACACTACGCAGCACCACAGAACAGACTATAGAATGGCAATCAACTCTACACCTCAACTTCATACACTCTCACAAGGCCTTCCACAGCGTCCACCAACAAGTAATTTCCAAACTGATTCAATACTACGCAATACCACAAACCTTTATCAATATCATTCAACAACTATATCAAGACGCAACATGTCAAGTAATTCACAATTCACAATGGAAAGCTCACTCATGCTTTCACAGTGAACACAGGCACGAGTAAAACAAGCCTGTCAACTATCACCCATGAGATTCCTGATTGTCGTCGACTCCATCATGCAGCAAACTGTGAGCAGCGAGAAGAGGGGGATACCACGGACCGCCCAAAAGAACCTACAAGATTGAGATTCCCACAGTGATGACTTGTGTCTGATGTCACACAAACTCGAAGATCTACACGCGAAAACTAACAAGGTGACAGAAGAGGCAACGAACATGCGACTTCAAGTGAATATACACAACACAGAGGTGATCAAGATACCTAACCAACAACACCAACACCACCACCACCACCACCACCACCAACAACAACAACAAACTCCAATCACCATCAATGGCAGAAACTTAAAACAAGTAGCCTCCTTCACCTACACCCATCCAGGCAGCACTGTTTCAACTACACGCAACACAGGCACAGACGACGACGTCAAAACAAGCCAGCATCGGAAATACACCAAGACAGGCCTTCCTGCATTAACCTGAAACCAGTGTGGAGATCTTCTCCACTCCACTCTGCATAAAGTGTGAACAACATCCCCATTTTCAACACCAACGTCAAGTCAGTGCTTCTGTATCGCTCAGAGACTTGGCACGTTACGAAAAGGATTTCCAACAAACTACAGATATTCATCAACAACTGACTACTCTGGCTCATTACTGAAGATCAGATGGATGGCCAGAATAATAAGAATAAGCAACAAGCAACTCACTCTGACTGGCTGGCTGGCCTCCTGCCTGCCTGCCTGGTGACGAACCAACAAAGCAAGAACCTATCACTCAACAAATATGCAGAAGATGAGAGTGGAGATGATTGGATTGGGCATACACTGAGAAGGCTGATTGGGGACATTACGCGTCAGGCAGGCCAGGTACTCGAGTGGAACCCCCATGGGAAGCGACGAGTTGGGCGTCCGAGGTGAGGGTGACATGGAGGAGATTGTGAGAGGAGGAAATGAGAGGTTATGTGCAGTGGTGGAGCCAGGTTCAAAAGATCTCAGAGAAGAGAGGTCACTGGAGACGTGCTACTGAAGCCCTATGTTCCACCAGGAACCCAAGGGACAAATAATAATAATAAGAAATCACATATGAGGAGAGAGAAATCATAAACTTCCAAGTTCAGTAAGACTTTTGATGTGAGCAAATACGACAATAGACAAGATGAATAATGTATTAATTAAATTAAGGTTAGACCTGATACACTTAAGGAGAAAACAAATAAAATATGTATTTTGAAGAATTACTCACCGTCTACCATTGAAATTTGACCATACTGTTGGAAAGCTCTAAGAGCGAGTCCAACATTGTGTATTTTTTGAAGACGACTTATAGCAGGGAATCGTACCATTGACATAAGACTACCAGGTCCAATGACAATAGGCGGTGGTTTCTCAGTAGATGTAGGAGCTGACAATGTAGGAATCAACAGTTCAGCGAGTTTCCTAAAGGAGGATAATAATAAAAGGCTGAAAGTAGCAAACATATAAGAAATCAAGTACTAAAGGAGAGAGATTTATGAACATGACAGAAGTGAAATGAAAAATTTGGTCAGTGGTCGGACGTTGTAGCTCAGTTGGAAACCAGGAGGTCGCTGATTCGAATCTGGTTGAGATTCAAATTTTCATTTTACCTTCAATTATCACCCAGTATAAATGACAGTACACACATGTAAAACAGATTTTATTCAAAATTCAAAAGCTGAAAATGTTAAACATCCAACATAACTTACACCAAACGTATACCGTCTCTCAAATCGACAGCCAAGTTCTCGACGGTAAATTGATATTCATCCAATTGTGTTTGATTCACTTTAACTTCTGCTCCCAAGTAGGCCATATGACGAACTAAATTATTCTCACCATATAGAAAATTTTGTGCAAACGACAAAAGCAGCGATGATGATGACTGAAATCAGATCATAAAAAAAAACTCATAAGGGATATGAACAAGACGACTATATTAATCTGACACAAATATTTGCCAGACTTGAATTATACACCATTTTTTTACAGGCTAAAGGGAATGGTAAATAAAAATCCTGAGCCTAAATCTTTATCTTCAAATGAATAAGGACCAATCGAACACAAATTTCGTCTTGGATAACACTCATCAGTTACGTAAACGTTCATTCCAGTAGGCAATTGTTTTTACTGAAACTCAATCCAAAAATGTAGTTATAAAAACAAACCATATTTCCTGAATTTGTATCGTTTGGCAATCATACTAAGTTTTGAGTTTTAACCCTAATGCAAATAACACTACTTTGAAAAAGGTCATGGCTAAATGTGCGTAACACTTAGTAACTAGCTCGGAAGTCAATTAATGCTCATAATCTCAACCGATTTTATCCACTTAGTGGCATGCCGTCATCAGCCGCATTTTTCATATACTGGTTTCACAGTTAACGAGTGATATTAGAAAAATGTAAGCTACTTAATACCTATAACCTACGCATCTTATGTTACTTCAATGGTGGTATTTCGTATATATATATATATATATATATATATATATATATATATATATATATATATATATATCGCATAGATGTTCGGTACATTTGGGTTCTAATAGACATCCAAATACTTTGCCTACACTAGAGTTGAGTATGGGGAGTTGGACATGTTTTCGTATCGAAATACCAAAGAATACGAGTTTAAGAAGGTGGTTACAACTTTTCAGAAGTGTGAAATAACCAAATCACTATGCTACTTGACACTCAAATCAAACATTTATGTAAACCATTTCTAAAGTAATACTTTGTATTTAGATATTGTGAAATGCATACCAAATATTCTGATGCCATCACTTAAGAAACTGTATTTTATTAGCATTTCACTTAGTAGAACTATTATGCCAGTGAGACTTGGGATTGATTAAAGTATGAAAATCAGTTGGATCGATCCATGTTAAGACAAAAGATAAGCTGCATCGTAAATTGAATAAAACTACTGACAAACACCACCTGACATAGTCGTGTCAGACGATAGCTTGTGCTAAGCTCTGCTAAACAGACCTCAGTAATGTTAAATATTTCATCAATATAGCTTTTAATGAATACAGTACAATACCACCTAATTAACCAAATACACAAGGGGTAGTTATCAAGACCAATTTCTAAACTAAATAATGCCAAGGATAAGAGTGACTGAACTTAAAAGGCAGCCTAAGATATAGACTAGCGCTTTTTTTGATGACTTTCATGTACCAACAATTGAAACTCAATTATCGGTCATATTTTAGTTTAGCGACAGATCTCACAAGTGTCAGGTGCACCCTAATGCCGATAGTTTTTTTTTAGTGACCACTACTCTAACTGGTGTAAAGATGTGTGAACTGTGTTTAAAGGATAGTTATTGTTAATCGTTTGCAACTTAAAACTCAAGACGGTATCAACATTTCATTTTTCTGAATATTAGGTAAACTATTTCCAATCTCAAAAACCTAATGGAGTGTACAGAACACGTGGTACTAGAAACTTATACAGTTAAACACACTTAACACAACCAGTTTTGATGAGTAACGAAAGTATTGCCATTAAGTGCATCCAATAACTTTTCACCATAACGTTTAAAGACATTTCCCCCCCCCCCCTCCCCAGCAAATTCTATATCTGAGCAATATGTGAAGATAGACACAATCTACAAAAATTGCCATGTAGACTAGTGGTTGAAACATAAGGCTATCCTTTTGTTCAACTATAACTACCATCACAAACTATATGAGTCAACAAATTTAACTTGAAATAACAACTAACAGTAAGAACTGGTTGCTTGACATAAATAATGCTCAAACTGTACAGGTCATATCTAAACTTTACTTCTCAGTCTAATTTTGATGACAATTTTATAAGAATCTTTCAAAACAAGTGATGACCACGGTAGTGGATGCATTCAAGATGCTAACATAATGAAACTAAACAGTCATTACCGGAAATTACTCAGAAATAATAGAAAAAAAGTTGATGTAAGTATACCAAGTTGTTTCTATCGACTAGGATGTCCTGAAACAAAGTACAATACTAAGAATAATACCTACATTATCGTCGACAGCTCTGAGTTATGATTAAATATTATCCAGATATCCATATACCATTAGATCAGACAATTTACAATATACCTATTACAATCTAAAAAACAACACTGTATAACTTATTTATGAAATAAGCTATGAGCTAAGCTTATTCTAAGAAGATCAAGTATATAACGAAGATACTAAGTAAGAAAATGTAGATAAAACGAGGTCAGTACAATTGCTTCGCTGACTGGTTATCTTACAACTATACTAGATGATTAACAATATGAGTGTAGTAAATCCATTTCATAACCAGAAAATGATTATAGTGCAGTAACCTGCAAATAAAAAGTAACCTGGAGAACACTGTATAATGGTGATTTAATCACATCATCCATAGACAAGTACAGTTGTTTCAAGTTGTTATTCATCGTAGACTGACATCAGTTGGAGGAAGAAAGGAAACCTGGGAGCACTGGACAGCTGTTTCGTCCGACTAGTATGGGACTCCTCAGCAGTGCGCACCCACGACCCCACCAGTAGGGATCGAACCCGCGACCTTCAGGTCCCGCGGCCAGCGCGTTACCATTAAGCCACTGGATCAAAATCCAATGCTCCATATTTCCAACTTCTGTTAGCTGGCCGCGGAACCTGAAGGTCACGGGTTCGATCCCCGCTGGTGGGGTCGTGGGTGCGCACTGCTGAGGAGTCCCATACTAGGACGAAACAGCTGTCCAGTGCTCCCAGATTTCCTTTGTTCCTCCAACTGATGTCAGACTACGATGAATAACAACTTGAAATATTTCCAAATCTTGACATCTCCCTCAAAATTTAAGTACAGTTATATGAAAGAATTTCATGGACAAGGAAAATTAAGATTTATTATCTGTAGAAATAAAATATAAAAAAAGAATTTGCAAATTCAACAACTAACAGCTTTTTCAAGTCTCCGGGTTAAACTATCATAGGAGACCAATCAGACAATATAAACTTTTTCTAGAATAGTCTCCAGTCATCACAGTTTCTTTAGGGAATGATACTGTTACTTTGTGATACAACTAATAAGAGTATACATTCATAGATGTTTATTCATTGTTAACATTAGTTTATTCAATTGAATACATAAGATTGAAAAAGTTTACTAATACTGATGAATCAAACAATGATTACTGTCCCCATTTAACTCATTGTACTACTAATCAGTAGTTTATGTGATGTTTTAACGAAACGTTTTCTTAAACTAGTGTCTGCAACAAAAACTTTAGGAATTCCCACATATTTTACTAATAGTTTATCTACACTGTTGACAATTTCGGTTGTAAGAAATTAGTTCTACTTTTTTTAAACAAAGCAATCTCTCTTTGATTAATTCCATCAGCAGAAATAAGTAAAGACATGGGTAATTCATTTATCTTCATTAACTCAAGTAAGTATTATTGTTCATTATTTATCCGTTGAACCTCGCCTGGTTAACTAGTTCACTAGTTACTAGCCGGTTCTAAGCCCCGACAAACAGGGAAGGTTGGGCATAGGACTAGCAACCCTATCCCGGAAAACAAATCCAACCTCTAAAGAAACTTCAAAGCCCAAACAAAATATCAAAAATAAAAACATTATTCCTCGCTGGAATCGAAGAGGCGAAATGATGCCAGTTGGTGAAAGCCTGCCTTCGGGAAGGCAATTGACCGATGTGTCTTCTCTCCCTCGATGAAAGCAAAAGTAAACGTGGTGACATGGAATGTCCGCACCATGTTTGAACCCAGCAAGGCAGCCTAGATTGCAAACGAGATGAAGAGGTATCACATTGAAGTGCTTGGAATTTGCGAAAGCAGATGGAATGGGAGTGGACTCTACAAACTGTCAACTGGAGAATCAATAATCTACTCCGATATTGTCACCCAGATGACAACCACGAGCACACTGAGTTTTGGAGTGGCTATCATGATGTCCCCAACAGCATCGAAGGCCCTCATGCAGTGAGAACCAATCTCCTCCGGGATCATGACAGCAAGATTCAACTCAAAAGGAAGGAAGGAAGGTCATAATCATACAATGTTACACACCTACAAATAATGCAGATCAAGAGAAAAAAGGAGGAATTCTACAGACAACTCCAATCAACGCTGGACAAGACACCACTCAAGTTGGCGATATCAAAATTCTAATGGGTGACATGACTGCCAAACTGGGAGCAGACAACACAGGAAGAGAACTAACCATGGGTTGAGAAGCGCTCGGTCAGGTGATGAACGAGAATGGAGAATTGTTTGCAGAATTCTGTGCATTCAACGATTTGGTGATTAGAGTGGGGCAGTGTGTTCAAGCACAAGGATATCCACAAAGCGATATGGATTTCACCAGACACCACGACACCAAAAATCAGGTCGACATTATCTCAATCTCAAGAGAGTGGAGACGCAGTCAGCCTACTTGACACAAGGTCAAGAAGAGGAGCAGATGTAGCTTCAGACCACTATCTAGTGAAAGGAACCTTCCAAATCAAGTTAAAAGCTTTCAAAGAAGCTGGTGACAGACCACAGTTCAAGTACAACACTCGGAAACTGAAGGACGAAACTACAAAGGAAATCTTCACGTCAGCCATCAAGACAAAATGGGAGATATCGAGGGATGTCCCTGAATCAACCTGTGTGGAAGAACACTGGAAGTTTTTGAAAGAAATGTAGAAAGAAACCTGCATTACCGTATTAGGAAGGAAGAAGGAGGTAAGGAATGGATCTCGATGAATACATGGAAGCTAACAGAGGAGAGGAGGATGGTAAAACAGAAGATAAACCAGTGCAAGGATGCACAACGAAAAGAGGAACTCAGTACAACGTATAAAACACTGGACAAAAAAGTGAAGAAGAGTACACGCAAAGACAAAACACACTTCTACAAAACACTGGCAAGTGAAGCACAACAGGTTGCAGCTAGGCGAGACAGAGACCTGACAACATTGTATCAGTATCAAATAACCAGGTCACTCACTATATGGCACAGAAGACATCAACACACGTGAAACCAATAAAAGATGATGATGATGATGGAAATTTAATTACCAAAGAAGAGAAACAAAAAAACAATGCGCCGATCACTTCAATCGACCAACACCACCACCACCACCACCTGCACTTCGTTCACATATACAACCTGCAGTCCCAAAACTACAAGTGAACATAAATCCCCCAACAAAAGTCGAAGTCCTCAACTCCATACAGCTACTGAAATATGGGAAAACAGCAGGACCAGATGGGATCCAGCCAGAAGCACTGAGAACAGACGCAGACACATCAGCAGCGAACATGCTCACACAACTATTGCAGAAAGTCTGGAAGGAAAGGAAGGTAACTGGCGATTGGAAGAAGGGTTACCTTGTCAAACTCCCGAAGAAGGCACACCTAAATCTTTGCAAAAACTGCCGCGGAATCACGCTCCTGTCCACCAAAAGCAAGCAAAATATTAAGCCGCAACATTCTGGAGAGGGAGGCTAAAGGATGCACTGCATTCAAAACTACGACCACAACACCTTGCCTGGATTCACGAAGTACAAATCGTCTGCGCATCAAATTGAAACGCAGCGAACATGGGACCACCTAGTGAACATAGACAACACAGAGGTGATCAAGATACCTAACCAACAACAACAACAACAACAACAACAAACTCCAATCACCATCAATGGCAGAAACTTAAAACAAGTAGCCTCCTTCACCTACACCCATCTAGGCAGCACTGTTTCAACTACACGCAACACAGGCACAGACGAGGATGTCAAAGCCAGCCTGGATCGGAAATACACCAAGACAGGCCTTCCTGCATTAACCTGAAACCAGTGTGGAGATCTTCTCCACTCCACTCTGCATAAAGCGTCAACAACATCCGCATTCTCAACACCAATTCAGTCAAGTAAGTCAGTGCTTCTATATGATGGTTGAAACACTTGACACGTCACGAAAGGGATTTCCAACAAACTACAGATATTCATCAACAACTGACTACTCTAGCTCCTTACTGAAGATCAAATGGATGTCCAGAATAATAAGAATAAGCAACAAGCAACTCACTCTGGCTGGCTGGTGACGAACCAACAAAGCAAGAAGCTATCGCTGAACAAATATGAGGAAGACGAGAGTGGAGATGATTGGATTGGGCATACACTGAGAAGACTGATTGGGGACATTACGCATCAGGCAGGCCAGGTACTCGAGTGGGACCGAGATGGAAAACGACGAGTTGGGCGTCCGAGGTGAGGGTGACATGGAGTAGATCGTGAGAGGAGGAAAGAGAGGTTATGTGCAGTGGTGGAGCCAGGTTCAAAAGATTGCAGAGAAGAGGGTGGAGTGGAGACGTGCTACTTAAGCCGTATGTTCCACCGGGAACCCAAGGAACAAATAATATAAGAAATGTATCCCTTGGGTTCCTAGTGGAACATAGGGCTTCAGTAGCACGCCTCCATTGCACTCTGTTCTCCGCAGTCTAATGAACCTCACATTATTATTGACTACCTTTAATGTAAATCATTTGTATTATGATATACGTTAGACTGTAATTCAACAAACATCAGATCAATCAATAAGGAATTCAAGCTGATTCTGCTATTAAAGTAAGAAAGTGGTGTCGTTAACTTCACAGAAACAGAGGCTCCTCAAAGTCGACTACACAAAAGTGTATACGACCTCAAGATACATTTATTTCTCTATATAAAAACTACCTTTCCACTAAAATGTCAGTGACAACATTTATGCAGACAAACAGTGCTAACTCAGATCCACAAATTTTTACAGAAATTTGAAGTACATTTTATCAAAAAATTGATGTTAAAAAACTTACTTTAGTTTGTGATTTGGTGCGAAATAGGCATGGATCATGTTTGATTAACATACGACTTTTAAAGTGGTCCATAACCCAAACAAATATGATGAAACGTTTAATAACGTGGCGGTTATATAAAACATCACGACTTAATGTATCTGTGAAAACAGAAAAAAGAAAATTTTTGTTTTGAAGGGTATTGGCGAGGTATAGACAAACAAAAAAAGGTGCAATTGTACCTGAAAATCCGAACACATCGATAACTTATTCACTCAGTCGTAAGTGCGATCAGGATCACTTACGAGATAGATAATGAACATAAAGAGAATGTAGCTGTGTTAGTAATGTGAAGGACACAGCGGTTTCAACACTATCATCTGTAGGTATCTAGACTTCAAGTCCTCGAGTTTAATAACAGTTAAAGTGGGTTTAGTGAAGTGTTTAAATACTAGAGGTAAAGTTCACTAGTGAATCAAAGGATCTAAACAAAGAATTAAAGCCATATAAAGAAAAAACCAATACTCAGTAGTAGTTGTCCTTTACAGTTTGTTAGGAAATTAGTAGGAACAAGTAGGAAAAGAAGTAGCGATAGCGATATTGATAACTGCAACAGAAATAGCAATTACTTATGTTATCGCCTACGGAAAGATTATGTCCTAAGATTGAATCACAATTCTCGATAAGGTTAGAACTAAGCCGGCACTTAAACCTGCTGCTAACTTGACGATTCTATTGATCCAATTACATAAAATACTTTCACCCACCAAAAAACATCATGTATCAACTAAAGGGTTGAATACATAAGTTATATCAGCTAATCTAGATAAGTAAGACTGTTGAAGCAAAGGAAATCAGCTGGATTTAGAGAGATGAACCCAATCCAGATTAACAATTCAGAGAAATTGTAGCTACTTCACAGCAAGCACTTACGTAACCATACAGCAGAGAAGGATAAAATAAATGTACTAAAATGCAGTATCTCTATTCAACAAGAATGACAGCAACAAATAATCAATTACGAATTTCCTTCATGTGTGCTATATCTTTGTTCTCATTCACTGAGATCCTGATTAAGCTATTTGCGCTTTTAAGGTATTGTATATTCCCCATACACTTTGCTGCATACAATAGAATTGTACATTGTGTAGGCTACCAGTCTATTATCGTGTTCTCTCTCAGTCAACTGGTGTGACGTTAGTGGTAGTAGGCTCTAGTCACAGATAGTAATTTGGACAATGAGAATAGTTAGGACGAGTGTTGGGTATTTCCTTCGATCTATTAATCATAGGATCCAATAGGAAACACAAACTGAGGTTACGACCAGAACATTGGCCAAACTGTCAACACAATACAACTAAGCGGAAAGACAGAGATTGATTATCGGATCTTATTTCCTAGAATTATCATATGATACATGTAATAGGAATTATACAAAGCATATTTCAACGATGCGAAAAATTCTCCATTACTGGAAAGTAGGGTAAAAACTGGTACAATTATGAAAACTAGACATTGAAAGTTGTGTGATTACTTCGGTATGAATATGAGCAGTAATTTATGTCGGAAACCTTAATACAGTATACAATACTATATCGCTGTGTGCAATTATCACATAAACAAATATAATATAGAATTATATTCTACCACAGTGCTTACTTTTTACATCTATATTGCTGCTTTGTCCTACAAAGTTCCGATCTAAGTAGTTCTTATGATTTGTTTCTAGGTACATGGTATGCATCAGTAAAGCAAAAATTGTCTTCTTAAGAACAAATGTAATCGATAAGTAGAGAAACCATATTCATGTTTTTAGGTGAAAAAAAAGTTTTGTTGATGAGATTTTATGGATATGCAAAACTTTTTCATGAATTTTGTAGTCCATTTCAACAGTAAGCAGTTCATGAGTTAAAAACTGAGAAACAATGCAGAGCACAGGAGAATAATCCAAGTTGCTATACTTGATCAACAGTACAAGGTAGAATAGATAGCAAGAGAAAGGAACCTACTTAAGCTGATATTGATCGATGGGGAAGACACGAACTCGCTGGTGTCATAACAGCATTAAGTTCTGCAGCGTAGAGCACAGTTCATTACAACAATTATATATATATATATATATATATATATATATATATATATATATATATATATATATATATATATATATATATATCATTAATGCAGATATCAAGAGATATCATCAACCTTCACAGGTAATTCAAAAGACTTTTGAATTATAATAGACATTTTTAAGGAGCTTCACAGATAAGTTAAACAGTTAATCCATCATTTTATCCGGTGTAGACGCAAACCAGTTTCACAGTAGATCTCGTGAAAAACAAAAAACTGGGTTCGAGAATCTGTAGAAGGTGGAAGCCTGATTGATACATTCTCAAAGCTAAATTTGTACCATTTTCTCAGATTTGTTATTATAGAGCACCAGTTGGGTGAACAGATTGTCGGTTACACGATTCTAACTTAACATTTAGGGTAACTGCTTTAAAAATAGTGATAAAAATGATTATTATCTCGGTTTTCTTTTAAACGGGAACGATTAGTATTTGGAGTCAACAGTGACCACTGTTCTCAAAACACACACACACACACAAATATCGTACTTCTGAACTACCATACTGCAAGGTTTCTGGGTTAGATCACTGTGTTAACAGTTTGGCCAATGTTCTGGTCGTAACCTCAGTTTGTGTTTCCTATTGGATCCTATGATTAATAGATCGAAGGAAATACCCAACACTCGTCCTAACTATTCTCATTGTCCAAATTACTATCTGTGACTAGAGCCTACTACCACTAACGTCACACCAGTTGACTGAGAGAGAACATGATAATAGACTGGTAGCCTACACAATGTACAATTCTATTGTATGCAGCAAAGTGTATGGGGAATATACAATACCTTAAAAGCGCAAATAGCTTAATCAGGATCTCAGTGAATGAGAACAAAGATATAGCACACATGAAGGAAATTCGTAATTGATTATTTGTTGCTGTCATTCTTTCTAGCTATGGATACAACATTCTGGAGATTACTTTCAACATTGTGAGGAAGATTAAACTTTCGACTGGAGTTGTTAGGTAAACATCTAGTGGCTAGTTGACTTTTATGATATAGAGATGAGAATACATTCTCGGTTCTTTCTTTTTTATATGCTTTGTTGACTGGTTTTTTACAGTAAGGAATCGATAAACAACTAAATAACCTACTTTTTCATACCATATTCCCTTCTGAATTGAATAAACCTGATAAACGATCAGTATTTGGAGTCAACAGTGACCGCTGTGCTCAACACATACATACAAATGTCGTACTTCTGAACTACCATACTGCAAGGTTTCTGGGTTAGATCACTGTGTTGACAGTTTGGCAAATGTTCTGGTCGTAACCTCAGTTTGTGTTTCCTATTGGATCCTATGATTAATAGATCGAAGGAAATAACCCAACACTCGTCCTAACTATTCTCATATTCCCTTCTGAATTGAATAAACCTGATAAACATTTCTTATTAACAAATTGAAGTAAAACGAACACTTTTCCAAAAGGAAATAATTAATAAAGGAACTGGACATATGTTTTTTCCTCTTATAAACTATGAAATGACATTTTTCACGACAGACTTTTTTAATCATAATTGAGTTAATAGAAGTTTTTACACCAAGTAGTAGGTTATACCAGAAAGTTGAAGACTAGCAATACTACCCGTACTTATCAACTGAATACCTAAATACTACTGAGGCTCAAATATTAAATGTTCCAATTTCGAGTATACTAATATGAAAATAAAGCAATAAAAATCCCCTAACTCAATGTTACAACAGAATCATGAACTACAATAGAACTTGAACCCAATGATGAGAAATAAAGGATTATCAGGTCATAGGTCAAATTGTTTAAACAGTAACTATATTAACAAAGAGTAGTAATGAACAGACTTACTTAGTTTTGTTGAGCTTTTATCATTTCTGGTAGCATTATTAGATGCTTGTTTTGATTTTATATCGCTAGAATTTGATTTTATCGGAAGAATTGGTGTATTAAGCATAAAAGATTCAAAAAGATAACTGTTTATCTTTTTTGATAAACAAACAATATGACTACTTTTATCATCTGTATTGCATAGGTTACTTAAATCTGTCAGATCTGTTGACTGATGACTGTCAGATAGTGTTGATGATTTCGGTTGAATTGAAGGTGAACTTGTAAGTGAATCGACTGTAAGATGAAGCCAGATTGGAGCATAGTTGACCATAAGTAGGTCTTGAATTCGACGTTGAGAACCTTGTGTTAAGAAAATGATAGTTATTATATATTTTTGAGATAAATGGGGATTTTTAATTTAGAAATAGTATTCATCATGGACTGACATCAGTTGGGGAACCATTGAAAATCTGGAAGCACTGGAAAGATGTTTCGTCCTAGTATGGGACTCCTCAGTAGTACGCGCCGTGAAACCTGAAGGTCTTGAGTTCGATCCCTAGCCAGGTCGTGGGTGCATATTGCTGAGGGGTCCCATACTAGGACGAAACATCTGTCCAGTGCTCCCAGATTTTCAATGGTTCCCCAACTGATGTCAGTTCATGATGAATACTACTACTAAGCTATTATATACGTCAACATCTAGCAGTAAATAATCACTATGTAAAATATTAATTCATACCTTTGTCAACACGAAGTGATATTTGTTGGAGAGGAATCAGTTTTCCATTGTCTATTTCACGCTCAATACGCTCTCCAGGGACTGTAATAGCAGTTGAATTCAATAACTCGATAGCTCTTTTTAATGTTGAATAATATATAGATGATCCAACTAAACAAATATCTTTAGATACGTTCATGGAATGTCCGCTATAACTGTTGGCTGCAATACATGGGGCGAAAATGCCATTTAACCATTGGGTCAAGCCAAAAACACTCATTTCGGATAGGACAGAGGTCACGTTATTGTAGAAAAGATTCCCACCTTGACGCTTTTTATGAGTAGATACAGTAGCGCAAGCAGCTAAAAATCATCGAGAATAATACTGAGCATATTCTTAATAATGAAAAACACGATGTTTACTTTTATGAGAAATAAATATTTCACCTATAATTCATGAAAAAATTTTCTTAAAAATCACTAAACCAACTGCTGGGACACAGTACTGCTTAATTGACTTTTTTCTGGATTAGAGGTTTGGACTGATCTGATCTACAGCAGGAAAAGGTGACTACTAACATCCGTTGTATATCCAAATAGAGACACGTCTCTATTTCAAAACCATAACTTTTCACCTTCCAAACTAAAAATACAGACAAATGATACACAAAATTAACTTCATTTTGTCCATACGGAACACTAATGGCAAATTCATCCATTAAAATGAACCTGACAGATAGGAAAACTTAGATAAACTGTAACTACTGAGTTGATATACAAGAATCAAAAATTGAAATGTGCTCAGTAGTAGGCAATAAGCCACACTTAGGGAGTGAGGGTCAATAATACTACCCGGTTTCTCAAACGGGGCCCGAACCCATGACTTATTGGTTGAAAGTCATCTCCACAAGCCAATGAACGACAGCTCCACGATAATACACAATCGAGAATATGATCATGGAGTGTACAAGTATTATTCGGGATTGGATAATACAGAGGACAAATGAAGACAGGTAAAGAAACACCCTACACCGAATGAGGTTACATATGACCAGTTTAAAATCCAAGCACTCAGCAAACAAAACTCTAATGAAAACAGTATAATTCATATTTCCTAATGCGAAAAGTTTACCCTTACACGAAAGATCACCTTTCAAGTGCTTTATGATCAGCTACAAACTATCTATAAGGAGATAGTTACTATGGTCTAAGCGATTTTCACCGGGTACAGATAAACGAAGTTATCGTGTTGTTGTTCCTGTGAACACGACTCCACAAAAAATACTCTTAAAAGTAATTCAGTTTCCTTATCAAGATAAAATTATGATATAAACAAGAAATTGTTATCATCTGTACAAATCTAGCTTTACCGAACAAGTGACGAATTCGGCCTAGGAAGTTCGCTTGGACCTAATCTTGCCAACGTATTTTACAGCATATTTAGAAGCAAAAGGAATAAAACCAGCGGTTGAGAATAATAACTTTACACGAGGTATGTGGTTGATATATTTGTGATCTGTGATGACATGCACAATACCTTGAAAACATTTCAATTTTTTTAAAACTAGACATCGCAATATAAACCTTACAATAGAATATTAGCTTTATAACCGTTTCAGTTTTCTGCATCGATCCATAAAAAGGAGAAATGAAAGCACAATCGAGAGAAGCATTTGCTGCAAGCATATTCAGACAGAATAGTATTTAAATTACAACAGCTTTTACCGACTGAACTACAAACTACAGTTGGTTAGATCAATATTTAATAGAGAAAGAAACTTGTGTTCTAAGTTGATTACTGTTGAAAGATATCTGTCTGACAATTGATATATACAAGACTTTATTGGTACATACAGAAATAAGAAACAGAGATAAGAAAACTGTCATTACAATTGAGAAGTCACTTTCCACTCAGTTGACTTTTCGGAGAGACGATATTGCAGAACAAGTGTACAAAAAGTTCAGAGTTACCTTTGCTAGATCCTACTCAGTAGATAAAATCGTTTCTGTGTATGGCAATAGAAGTATTTTCTTTTCTCTTGATCGAAAGTGGATTAGTACGCATCTCATATCATCTCAAATTATAACTATAAATTCACGTGTCTTGTAAAAGCAAGTATGCTGAAAAGGTATCCAACAGATTCAGGACATCATGTAGATGTTGTCAACTAGCCGAAAATAGTCAAGCAACAAAGAAATACAATCCTACTTCGCTTTGCTAAGGCGATAACAATCAGATGGATTCAATTTAACCTTTGTGTCCAAGAGACTAAAATGAATCTAACTTCCACTTGATAACAATTCATTTGGCGTAGGGACACGACCGCTTCCCATTTCCTGCTTAACCATTGATTTAAATTGAATCTAATCCATTTACTCATCTTCTTACGTAACATGCATTACTTTCTGACTAATTAAAAATCAAACTTCTTTTGTCTTACACTATTTGTTATAACCCTAAGATTTTCTCAATTATTTATAAATAGACGATTTGCTCTATCATCACCTACGATTGTAATATTTTCATTCACCAGTATCCCCCTTCAAGTTGATATTCATCATTAATTCTGTGCATTTTTATGCTGTAACCAGCCAAAGAGAAACCTCGAAATAAAGTCAGCTTATTTTATTCAGCAAATCAGATTATTCTCGTGTTGATGAGGACAGATAGAATCAGTTTTGAAATACGCGTATAAAAGATTCATTTTCCTAAATCCTCTCTAACTGTTATAAATTAGGGACAAGAAGCATAAGTAAATTGTCATATCTGATAAAACTGGATAATTGATTATCTCTGACATCATGAGGTTAAAGTGAAAACATGAAACATACCACGCATGTTAGTGTTCAGAGAATTGCAATAGTAACCTGCAGTCGCAAGTATCATTTATCGGTGGAAATAAAGACAATATTAGGGATGCGTATATCCCTTAACATTCCATACTTACAGTTTGCGTATATTTGAACCGTTTTACTTCACGTTCTTTCCCCAGTACATGGGTCATATTTCGAATGACCCGCTAGCTTTTTGATTGGCTCCCATCTCTTTAAATGTACTAATTATTCTTCACCTTTTAAGGTTAGTGTAAACTCTATAAATAGGGTCCGTTTTCACTCATCATAAACACTTACAGTTTGAGATACTATAAACTCATCTGATTTCCAGTCTTTTGATTTCTCTTTGCAAATCACTCGAAATGAATCGTCTCAACCCTCTCCACCATCAATCCTTAAAGTATTTTCGTTCGTTCTCACAACTCCGTATCATAACAAACAGAAAGAGTTTATACACCTGTTACTGTTCAACAACAAACGGCTATTAAGAAATATTTGCTCTAGCGAATAAAGTATAGACAAGCGTCTACGCATAAATTAAATGTGAATTATTCTTTAGACTTTCATGTATTTATGCTTATTTGATTCATTAATGTAATGATATAGTATGCTTATACTTTAGCATCATATGTAGGAAGAAAAGGATTGAATTCACGTCTGAATAACAAAAACTCATTATATAAATGAAATAAAAAGTTTGAAAAGGTGAATATAGTACATTTTAAATTCTCTTGAATAATTGTGGATATCATAGAATTGCATAAAACACGATTAGAAAACAAAAATTACCTCCTCTCAGTGCAGGTGAACGTACAAGCCTAGGTGAAACAAATGCAGTTGCAGTCGAGTTTAGGAAATTCACACCTGATGCTGAATCTATATCAGAGTATAACTTATTTGATGTGGATGCTGAACGCTTAGGAGAACTTAATTCCTTCATCTCATGGAATCGACCAAAAACAGACAAATCTCTAGTGGGAGTACCAGTCACCGGTTGTGAATTCGAACGACGTCGGTCTTTTACTGTTTTCACTTCAAAGAATAGGGATAATAGAAAAACAATACATGTATACATCAATATTTCAAATACCAAAACGATATCCATAGAGAGGTAGAAGAAGTAGGTTGCCCAGTCACACAAAACAATACGAAGGAAAATAATAATATAGTAATTCAAAATAGGAGACTTTGTAGAAGGAGGATTACCTAGAGGACAGATGTTGAAAGTAGGTCTTTATTATGCTTAAGCTACCTTATGTAAGGAAAGTGACAGTCGACACAATTCATGACATATAGACTATAGTACCAAAATTTTAAAATAATGTTTTATTATGTATAGTAATGATGGGCAGTGGCTGGCAGTGGAATCCAGGATGCGCATTTCATCCTATTTGGGACTCGTCAGATGGATGTACCTGCCTCCCAGTGAAAGATGTTGTTACTCGAACTTGGGGACAATCGCTTCAAATGCCAGAGCGTTATCCACTACACCACCGAGCCAAGTTAGCCACCTGTTGTGCAACGGGTACAGTTTAGTGTTATTGCTTGTATGAAACCGTCGTTGATTGGATCGAATTGATCAATCTCTGTTGGCATTATTGGCTCCTGTGCGGATGCCTCGATATTCCCTGTGTTTTAATTATGTATAGTATTGATGCTCTAGCCACTGCCTATCATTACTATACACAATGTTTTGTTAGTCATAAAATTAACTGATAGGTGGGGACTGTGAATAGTCTTTCCCCTTTTATTTTTAACTAAGTGCTAATCAATGCCTTCACTTTATGCGCATACCTGAAATGAGGAAACCACGAAAGATGACAATTTATTCTTACACATGTCCTATGAAACGTTTCGTATATTATCGGTGAGCAGTCCCATAAGGAAGTTAATAAGTTAAGGGGATTGTTTAACCATCCGTTTCTTTCTAGACCAAAGATATACAAATAATTATTGCTATTTATTGAAAAACGGAATCTATTTTTTCTCAGTGATAGATTCCTGATGAATGCAGGAAGCATCGGTGGTAATAGCCCAACACAATTGACTGGTATTAAATACTAATGGTTTGATTATCAAAAATTCTTTCGACTATGTATATTCTTATAAAAAATTACATTTTAAAGGCTAATTGTCATGAAGAAATAAAAACAATAAATAGTAAATCAATACACCAAAACTTGTTTACAGAACTCAAATTGCTATTTAAGGAAAGAAATTCCAATCAGTTTACTATTGTTCATGTTAAATCAGGTTAGGGAATGTTGATGCAAATTCAATGAAGACAATAGAAGTTTATCCAAACATCATTGTATATAAAAGGATTGCTAGTATCATTAAATTGTGTTGCTTAACCATACTTTCATCTTAACGTAGTAAATAGGCTCCTTTTATTACCTAAGATGAAATCCTTCTAAAAAACAATTTAACAATGTGTCCAGTATATGGAAAAAGTCACCAAATAAGTTTGACAATTCTGATACCAGCCTTTGAGATGAATTTAATGGCTAAAAATTGATTATTCGACATATTGACGATTACATAGGTGAACATTCTCATCACAAATGACGACGAGAAAAGTGTGGGATTTGTAAACTATTTATAAAAGATACAATAAAAAAGATTTTGTGATATCAATAACAATAAAAACCTTGCTACTGCAAAGCGATGATTTATGTCTAATGTCGGACAAACTCGAAGATCTACACGCGAAAACTAACAAGGTGACAGAAGAGGCGGCGAAGATGGGACTTCAAGTGAATATAGACAAGACAAAGGTGATCAAGATACCTAACCAATAACATCAACAACACCACCACCAACAACAACAACACCACCAACAAACTCCAATCACCATCAATGGCAGAAACTTAAAACAAGTAGCCTCCTTCACCTACACCCATCTAGGCAACACTGTTTCAACTACACGCAACACAGGCACAGACGAGGATGTCAAAGCCAGCCTGGATCGGAAAGACAGCAAGACAAACTTTCATTAACCTGAAACCAGTGTGGAGATCTTCCGCACTCCACTCAGCATAAAGTGTGAACAACATCCGGATTTTCAACACTAATTCAGTCAAGTAAGTCAGTGATTCTATGTGATGGTTGAGAAACTTGGCACGTTAAGAAAGGGATTTCCAACAAACTGCAGACATTTATCAACAGTTGCCTACGCTCACTCCATACTGAAGTTCAGATGGCCAGAATAATAAGAATAAGCAATAAGGAACTCTGGCTGGTGACGAACCAACCAAGAACCTATCACCCAACAAATATACAGCAGAAGGAAGTAGAGATGGAGTGGGCACCCGTTGAGAAGACCATTCGGGAACATCATGCGTCAGACCCTCGAGTGGAACCCAAATGGGAAACGACGAGTTGGGCGTCCGAGGCGAGGGTGATATGGAGATGGTGTGAAGAAGAAATGAGAGCTTGTGGGCTGTCGTGGAGCCAGGTTCAAAAGATTGCAGAGAAGAGAGTGGAATGGAGACGTGCTACTGAAGCCCTATGTTCCACCAGGAACCCAAGGGACAAATAATAATAAATAATATAATAATACCTCATAGCATGAACACAATTGATGAGCACCTTACTCGATAAACACCAGGAAGTAGTGGAATGAAGCAGATAACATTTTTGATATTTCAAACTGCAAAAAACTTATTATTTAGGAACAGATAATAATATAGTGAAAGGGAATGTTACAAAAACTTTAACACTACACGACATGATTAGGAAAAACATGATTATTTGCCATATATATATATATATGAAAAAAAATGATGACAGGTATAGACACTTACACCGACGACCGTATGCGTTCTCGTGGTCAACAAATGATCCATTTACGTCTAATGAATGAGAAACTAAGACACTGTTGGAGCTTTCAGATGTCAAGAAAGGAATATCAAGATTATTCAAATCAAATCCTTGATTTTGATTGCCTTTGCGAAGAGTGGAAGATGAAGAGCGTGCAGGATGACGGATTTCTGACACTGGCGGTGGCAACTGAAATTAAAGTCTAACGGACGTTAAAATCACATAAAAAAATTGCAAAAATATGCATTGAAATTTACTTGAACAAAAATCTGTAACCTGAATTAGATTAATTAGCATTCAACATTCCAAAAGAATATCCTGGAGAGGCTAAAGGATGCACTGCATTCAAAACTACGACCACAACACCTTGCCTGCATTCACGAAGTACAAATCATCTGCGCATCAAAGTGAAACGCAACACTACGCAGCACCACAGAACAGACTATAGAATGGCAATCAACTCTACACCTCAACTTCATACACTCTCACAAGGCCTTCCACAGCGTCCACCAACAAGTAATTTCCAAACTGATTCAATACTACGCAATACCACAAACCTTTATCAATATCATTCAACAACTATATCAAGACGCAACATGTCAAGTAATTCACAATTCACAATGGAAAGCTCACTCATGCTTTCACAGTGAACACAGGCACGAGTAAAACAAGCCTGTCAACTATCACCCATGAGATTCCTGATTGTCGTCGACTCCATCATGCAGCAAACTGTGAGCAGCGAGAAGAGGGGGATACCACGGACCGACCAAAAGAACCTACAAGATTGAGATTCCCACAGTGATGACTTGTGTCTGATGTCACACAAACTCGAAGATCTACACGCGAAAACTAACTACTTGGCACAAAAGGCAGCCAACATGCAAATTCAAGTGAATATACACAACACAGAGGTGATCAAGATACCTAACCAACAACACCAACACCACCACCACCAACAACAACACCAACAAACTCCAATTACCATCAATGGCAGAAACTTAAAACAAGTAGCCTCCTTCACCTTCACCTATCTAGGCAGCACTGTTTCAACTACACGCAACACAGGCACAGACGACGACGTCAAAACAAGCCAGCATCGGAAATACACCAAGACAGGCCTTCCTGCATTAACCTGAAACCAGTGTGGAGATCTTCTCCACTCCACTCTGCATAAAGCGTTAACAACATCCGCATTTTCAACACCTATTCAGTCAAGTAAGTCAGTGCTTCTATATGATGGTTGAAAAACTTGGCACGTCACGAAAGGGATTTCCAACAAACTACAGACATTCATCAACAACTGACTACTCTGGCTCATTACTGAAGATCAGATGGATGGCCAGAATAATAAGAATAAGCAACAAGCAACTCACTCTGACTGACTGGCTGCCTGCCTGCCTGGTGACGAAGCAACAAAGCAAGAAGCTATCGCTGAACAAATATGCAGAAGACGAGAGTGGAGATGATTGGATTGGGCATACACTGAGAAGGCTGATTGGGGACATTACGCGTCAGGCAGGCCAGGCACTCGAGTGGAACCGAGATGGGAAGCGACGAGTTGGGCGTCCGAGGTGAGGGTGACATGGAGGAGATCGTGAGAGGAGGAAATGAGAGCTTGTGGGGTGTCCTGGAGCCAGGTTCATAAGTTTGCAGAGAACAGACTGCACTGAAGACGTGCTAATGAAGCCCTATGTTCTATTAAGAACCCAAGGGACAAATAATAATGAATAACAATTCAAAAAAAATCAGTTTACTGAATTTCTGATAGTAATAGGTGACACACTTTTCAATATGACAGCGCTGACCAATGCTGATTTACAGCAGCTGTATGGATGCACAGTCATCAATTACGTTTCCCTTACTGTTTATTTTTTTGATATTATGCATAATGAGAAACACGATTCATATATTAGCACACAACAGGAATAATGATCGATGGTGGACATAAAACCCTAAACCTTCTCCAATTCAGAGTATCGATAATATAGGAAGGATAAGGTTACAGATATTTAGGTGGAAGTTGACGAAAGTAACATTGCATCTAACCTTTTAGTCAGTAGAAAAAAACTGTGGAAAATGAACTGATAAATTCCATAAACTTACATTTATTCGACCGATAGGGATATTAGGCTTTTCCTTTTTGGTATCGAACCTAGAATGATGTTCCGATGAACTTACAAAAGGCGTTTCAATCCATTTCGGTAAGGTGGGAAGTCGATTTGTTACAGGCGGTTTAGAGATTGGAAACTAAAGAAATAAAATCGAAAATGAAGAAAGTATTTACCAGAATGGTTTCATTAAAATTAAAAAACTTGTGAGCTATTGTGAGTTTCATCCAAAAATTGTAATATCTTACTTGAAGAATCAAACTCTGCAGATATATACTTTCCCAAAGATACAATTTAAAATCAGTATCGAAACGCGCGTCTTGGATTCTTCTGCTAGCCACAACTAAGTAAAATTACCATAACATTCAGGCAATATCGAGGCATCCGCATAGAGGCCTATATGCCAATATAGGTCGAACAATTCGATTTAGTAAAACAGCGGAGAATTACAAGCATATCCATAAACAGTAAGAATAAAATGATTAGAAAGACAGACCAATAGGACACATTCAAAACAAAACATTTGTTACTTTTCAGCAGCAAAATATGTGAGGAAGCTACAGCATGATTGTCACTGGTTTCCATTCTGAGCTATATCTGATAACGTCTCAAGTCACCGAGTTCCGTGATCCCTGATACTCCACCCAAGTTGTTGTGATGCACCAACAGATAGCTAACACGATACGACTATCTTTCATCCTATGGCGCCATGTTATACATTGGTTACCCCTCTGCTTCTTCTATCCAGTCACCGAAGCCGGTGTTTTAAGATGACTTCACTTATTGAATGATCATCTCCATCATGCCCAAACATACGCTGTCGTACCTCAGAATCACTTACATAGTGTTGCCATCGGATACGCGTAACCCTGCGGAGATAACGATGACCGAACACACAGAGTCGTTGAACATCCTCGGCTCAGAGCCCAAGTTTACCTGGTGTAAAGCAGAACTACTTGCACCGAAGCGTTGTAAACCTGACCTTTTAAGGTCACATTAACGTTGTGACGGCGCCAAATGTGGCTCAGATTGGTGTATGTCACTCTGGCTTTTGATATGCGCTTGGAAATTTCATCACACACCTCCATTAGCACTCACAGAACTACTCAGATACATGAACTTTTCGACTACTTCCAACGACTCACCACTGAGGGTGGGTGCAGGCACAAACTTCTGTTAATCTTGCAAAAGTACTTTGCATTTTGATGGTGCAAAGCATATACCCTACTTACGAATAATATATAGGGTACCAGATAGTGAAATAATACATCTGTATGTAGCTGTCAAATTAATCGAAGATCGCTGCAATGAGGATTAACATTTATTTTTCTGTATGAGCAAAGGATATTCTAAGGATGAATAAAGTGAAATACTTTCAAATAAAATAACGCTTAGGGGTATATAATTAGAAAAAACAATAGCACTGTGTTAGAAGGACATGAAATCTATCTGTCGGTATCTCGACTATAACTAACTTGTGGTCCTTTAAGCCATGGATTTGAACGATTAGGTTTTTGAACAGGTGGTAACAAACGACCAATAATGACGGCTTGAAGGGAATAAGTATCATTAACACGGAATTGAATTAAATGATGGAAACTGTAGACACCTTCTGTTGATAAGACATGAACAGGATTCCATGTAATCCGTATTAAAACTCGACCTTTTAAAGGTGAAAAATAAATTCTTTTGAAGATTGTAGGATGAATTGGTTGAAATTCTGAACCGTTTGTCTCAGACGCTATCCAGTCAACAGTAAATTCGTTTTCCGGAGGTCCACGTTGAATTGTCACCTTAATAAAATTAAACAAGAAATAGTTTGGGATGATAACTCATTAAACTATCCAAAAGGAATATAGACAAATTAACAGAAATTTCTTTAAGAAAGTATAGTCTAACGCCGTTCGATAATCGGTTTACCAACTTCTGATATATATCTGGAATTTATACAACTCAAATACTAAGGTGAATGTAGTGTAAATAAAGAGAAAAAGCAAGATACAAATAAAACATTGTTTTATAAATAGTTTATAACTAAATTTTACAAGACTGTTTTTAAGAAGTTATGACTGTGAATTAATTGCACAAAATTGTTTTAAATTTGTAATGAACACTTTAAAAAGCTCTTGAATCGACAACCACCACCACCTGCAACGTGTCCAGAAATATCACCAGCAGCAGGAGAATTACCAGTGAACACAAGCCCTCCGACAAAGGCAGAAGTTCTGAATGCCATGGAACTGCTGAAATTTGGGGAAGCAGAAAGACCAGATGGAATTCCTCCAGAAGCAATGAAAACAGACGCAGAGACATCAGTAGCGAACATGCTCACACCACTATTGCTGAAGGTTTGGAAGGCAGGAAGGAAAGGTGCCTGCTGATTGAATGGAAGAAGGGCTACCTTGTCAAATTCCCAAAGAAGGGAGACCTAAACCTTTGCAAGAACTGGCGAGGAATCATGCTGCTGTCCACCCAAAGCAAGCAAAATATTATGCCGCATCATCCTGGAGAGACTAAACAATGCGCTGGATTCAAAATTACGACCGGAACAGGCTGGCTGGCTTGATTTAGGAAGAAAAAATCATGTGCAGATCGAATAGCAACGCTACGCATCATCACTGAACAGAGTATAGAATGGCAGTCAACTCTCTACCTCAACTTTATTGACTTTGAAAAGGCCTTCGACAGTGCCGACTGACAAGTAATTTGGCAATTGCTTCAACACTAGGGTTTTAGTGCCACGAACCGTCATCAACCTCATTCGACAGCTATATGAAGACGCCACATGCCAAGTAATCCATAATGGAAAGCCCAGTGACGCCTTTGAAGTGAAGACGAGAGTGAGACAAGGCTGCCGCCTACTATCACCCATGATCGACCTGATTGTGGTGGACTGGATCATGCAGCGGACAACTCTGAGGAGCGACAAAAGGGGCATACGCTGGCTGAACCGATGAAGAGAGCCTAGAAGATTTAGATTTCGCCGACGATGATTCATGTCTAATGTCTTGTAGCACAAACTCGAAGATCTACAGGCGTACAATGAGGCAGTTCCATCGTCAAATTTCTCGGCACTACCCATCATGGTTGAACAAGGCACAAATTACAACTATAAAGAGCTCCACACTTGCACACTTAGTTGACACAGGACATCAAGTGGTTACTGGAAAAGCCTTCAAAATCATTCATCAGATTCCAATTAATTTACCACATGGATTACGCAGTCGTTTACTTCACATAGCAGAGGTGATTGCAATCCATCCAAAAGAAGTGTGTTTGACCAATTTCATTACCGTGGCTGTCAACATCATGCAACTTCTAGATTTATTCTGTACACCTCTTCCCTTCTTGTTTCTATCAATATTCATGTTTCCTATTTTAGTAACTCTATAGATTATTTACATCATTATTTCCGAAACATCACCACGTGATTGGTAATTTGATTAAATTGTAAACCTATATATTAGTGTAGAGCCTAAGATGAAGACCTAATTGAAGAGGAATATATTTCTTCGCTCGCTCAATCAGTCTTTTTCTAAATGTCTAAACATGTATTAAAAACTGACAAGTTGACAGAAGAGACGAGGCAGCGAAATCGGGACTTCAAGTGAATGTAGAGAAGACAGAGGTGATGAGGATACCCAACCAACAAAAACAACAAGCACCAATTAACATCAACGGCCGAAATCTAAAAGGAGTTGTCTCTTTCACCTACCTAGGCAGCATCGTCTCAACTACAGGCACAGATGAGGATGTCAAAACCAGGATCGGAAAAGCAAGACAGGCTTTCATTAATCTGAAATAATCAGTGTGGAGATCTACTCAGCATAAAGAGTGAACAAGATCCAGATTTCCAACACCAATGACCGTCAGGCCAGTGCTGCTATATGGTTCAGAAACTTGGCGCGTCACGAAAAGCACTTCTAACAACCTACATCATACATAAACAGATACCGCCTACGCTCAATCCATACTGATGCTGAAGATCAGATGGCCAGAATTATAAGGATAAGCAACAAAGAACTCTGGTGGACAACGAACCAATCAACAACCGATCACCCAACAAATATGCAGAAGAAAGTGGAGATTGGTTGGATTGGGCATACACTGAGAAGGCCTATAGGGGATGTTACGCGTCAAGCTAGGCCGTCAAGTGGAATCCAAAGGGGGAAACAACGAGTTGGGCGCCCGTGGCGAGGGTGACATGGAGGAGATCATGTGAGGAAGAAATGAAAGCTTGTGAGCAGTGCTGGTGCCAGGGCCAAAAGACTGCCGAGAACAGAGTGCAATGGAGACCTGCTACTGAAGGCCTATGTTCTACTAGGAACCAAAGGGAAAATAATAGTAATATTAGATATCTTATTGTGTTCAAGACTCTTGCTTAATAATATTCAACTACAATTTGTAATTAAGATGAAGTAAGCATTTTTACACCTCACCAAATGATAACAACAAACATCAACTAAAAACTGTACGAGATAGATTGAAAATTCAGCGACAACACTTTCTGTGATAAACATGTAGGAAAAGTAGAAAATGACCATAGGGAACGACACAGTTAAACATTTTTCTGAATTTAGACATTGACTACAAATTTCTTTTAAACTTAAAAAAAAAATAATACTAAGTTTATTTAGGAAATAACCTACTAATTACTTTATATACAGTCATTAAAACGAAGTCATCATCATCATTATCAACATAGGACCAGGCATTACTGCGTAACGGTCAGAGTTGCCACACCTCACGTTAGTTCATCAAGTAAAAAGGTAGTGAGGTGAAGGATGAAGATAAGTGAATTCAGTCAAAAGAAATATAAAGTACGAGAAGAAAGGAAAGAGGAGTGACAAACTGGTGAGATTCGGTATAGCCTCCTTAAGATGAGGATAATGGGTGTATACATCTGCGCCACTGACTTCGGTTCTGAGCCATATCACCTGGGTCTCCAACCACTGGTTCCTCTTGTCCCGCCGACCCCAACCACCTAGTCTGCATCGTCCTACATGGCTTAAACCAACAGTCAGAGACTTCATACGTTGATGCCATGTTTTAGTCTGGCCACCTCGGGCCTTTTTCCAGCCTGGGCCCACCTCAGCCAACATTGTGTGACGAGGCAATCGGTGACTAGGCATACGTAGTACGTGTCCCAACCATCTCAGTCGATGAAGGTTCACAACCTCGTCGACTGACTTACCTCTTCTCCCCAAAACTCTACACCTAACTTCTGCATTACTCACGTGGTGTGGTGACACCACGGAATACGTCCTATACTACGAAGGCAATGGTGGTCAAACACCTGAAGCCTTTTTATATCTTCCACTTTCGATGGCCATGTTTCACAGCCATAGAGTAGAACAGAGCGGACTGCTGTGCAGTACACGCGACCCTTAATAGACAAACGAATATTAAGGGTCGAAGAGAATGCATAGTTCCAAAAAAAATATTTTTTCTTCAGGGTGTTTTAAATCTTTTTGTTTGCTTCACTCATAGCATATTACTACTTTTTTTAAAGAAAGACTGATGACAGATGCTTTGTAATGGGAGCGTGATTTTGAATAAAATTCGTACAACCTTATTCTATGATTCTTATTTTATTTGATAATTTGTAGCAGCACTGTTAGAAATTTTGTATAAAACATTGTTATTGGTCTGAACATTTTAACATGTCATTCTCACACCATTTTTACAGTATGACTAATAGTCTATTTTCTGCCCCCATTCTAATGTAAATCGCTAATTGGTTAACTTTTACTCTTACTATGCAAATGCCTCAGATTGAGGACAAGGTCATTTTTCATGTGTGTACTTACTCACGTGTTTTGGATTGAACTATTATTATATTCTCGGAGTAATACACTCTCCCATCTGCCAGCTTCCATCTCCCTATTCGTCCCGGAGTTGCAGTCAGTATTTTTTCTGTACCAAGTTACCTGTCAGCTAAGCGCGCACATTATATTTGTTCCAGAATATAGATAAAACCAGTAGCCTTCGAAACCATAACAGTGGCGACGGGGATTAGATCAAAGAAATACAGTTTGATATCACTAGGTTATTGTGCTAATAGGCATAAAGATGGCAATTAGACATAGTTACCTCTTGTATATGTCTTTCTATTAGGTTATGGTGCCACCAATTTTTCAAAGTTTAATTAAATAAACTAGGTTCAAATCAGTTACATAGTGGTTGTTGGGCACATAGTTAAAATACTGGACCTTAGTGTAATAGATTTGAAGGTAATTTACAATAATTCATAAAGTTAAACCATATACTTGCTGAAACAACCATAAACATTTGAAAAGTCCATGAAACCTACCCCTTACCTGTCATGGAGTGCTACATTTGCAGATTCCTTTGGTTTACAAATAAACTTCCTATAAAATATAATTATATCCCACCTGTTATAACAAAAGAGTCTCTACTACATACAGCAGTGAATTCTATTTACGAAATGTAAAAAGTTTTAAGCATGTTAAGAATAAATAATACAATTGATGATATACAGAAGGATAAAATTATTAAAAGATAAAGGCTTACCCATTGCTCTTCATTAATGGTATTTTCTAACAACAAGAAATGAGTTAAAGGTTTGCCAATCACACTTGTTGTACCAAAATCTACGACAGCTCGTCGAGAGAACATTGATAAGGAGAGAATATCGGAAACAGTAACTGTGAAAGGGTTTTCATTTTCATTTTTATGCAAGATCACTTCATATTTATCACTAGATAATTTTGCAGTGATTGTATTACTCTATATAACACACAATAAATATAAAGTAATTGTAATGCATAGAAATGTGAACAATGATATTGTATATACAACATGTAAGAGTACTCAGTTAGTTTTTTACTCAAAGCTATAACCTGTTTTCGATTTATTCAAGCATGACTACAACTAATCTTTCACAGTTGGAGATAAAATTTCCTCAAAAACGTTTACTTTAGAATCATTTTCAAAATAATACAGATTCAAATTATTAATTGAAAAGCATACAAGGGGGCTGTAAACTTTTGGGGACATCAGCGCGCATATATATTATTTAGGTATGTGATACAAGTTATATACGCTCGGATAACATGATCACGAAATCCAAGAAAGATATAATATACGAACATTATGCAGAATATTGTACTGTTTAGGGCATGAATTTCAAACTGATTCAGGTAAACCTGTTACCCATTAAGATAGTCAATAATGCATCCCTGATTAACTTTTTATCGCCCGATTTTCCACAGAGTATCTCTGTACCAACTCATTATCTTTCCATATGAAACTGGTTTATTTGACATACTTATTGGTTTTTATTTCAAGCACAAATGTGGTACAACATGAGCACCAAGTGATATGCTATACAAAATAACATAACAGTATCAAAACGCAAAAGTAATATAGAAGGAAGAGAACGAAAAAGGTATAGAAGCGAAATAGGAGTAGGCTATTGAAGAAGCAATCTTGGAGATACATTAGTTGCTCTTGCAAGAAATTTGTAGCATGACATCCACTGGCTTCGACTCTGAAACATGTCTATATTTTGCCCCAAGCTATTTGGTTGCATGATTTCTCAGGACACATCCACGTGAGGGGCAAAACGATGGTAGGTCAACGCAACTATCCTTCAGCCCACGGTGCAACGTCACACACTGACCAAATTTCCGCCACTTGAAACCTGTTACACATCAAGTAAATAATGAAAGGTGTAGGAGCCACTGGAATGACATTCGTAACACATGTCCACGCCATACATGAATTTGCTAAGTGTATGACGATATCAATCCTCCCAAAAACACCTCAGAATTACATGTATAGTGTTTCCACCGGAGTTGAGCAATCCGAGAGGGGTAGCGGTGATTGAACATGAAGTCATCGAGCATCCTCAGCTCAGCAAGGCTAGGTTTCACAGACACAGCAGAACTGCATGCAACGATGCGTCCAACAAAGCATAGACGGTTGCTGACTGGTATCCAGTAGAGAAGCACACTTTCTGCTCTACAATTAAATGTAATGCCTAAACCAGCGACTCCACGACAGCATGCCATTGGGTCTCCGGATACTCTTAAGGTAAACTTTGAAGATTCACTACTGTGGCCAGGTGAGGTCAGCTTAATAACCAAATTCGGGTCCTATCTATGTGTCTCAGAGACACAGCATACATTCATGGCTTGACATTCCAGAGTTCTGGCGAGCAATACTTTCCGTCCGATTCGGCATAGAGTTCGGACGTTGAAATTTCCTACATGAAATCGTTAGTGTGGTCTTAGCAGACTAAGAATGAGGTTTCGACGGCTTTGATCGTTGGCAATAGTCGCGGAATGAGAGGTTGAGGAAGGTGTCAGAAGTTCAACATTGGTATCAGCAGGTGAAGGCAAACAAGGAGGCAGAGATGAGGAGGAGAGGTTATGTTTGGTTGTGTCTTGTGTACTACTGGAAACGTGCGGGCGGTTGACACTTCAAAGTTGACCGCACTGAGGAAGATATTCATCTCTTCGTCTCCATCTTCTCGTTTCCTACACTCAGTGTCGCTGCTCCAAGACATGATGAAGACTCTGTGGCCTGAAGTGTTCGAGGATGGCGATATCAAGGTCTTCCTCAGGGACTTCGAGTCGGTCATGGAGTTGATGGGTGTCCAGGATCCAGGAGCGAAGATCGTGGCCCTTGGCACGTTGCTGAGGGGTAGAGTGAAAGCGACATATGACGGTGTGGAACATGTGGATGGGAAGGAGACTTAGAAGAGAATGGTTGAACGCCTGGAGGCGGAGTTTGATAGCCCAGAGGACAGGGAGCTGGCTATGCAGCAGTTCCGGAGAACGAAACTTGGAATAGACGAAGATCCAGTGGTATTGGCTGTGCAGTCGGCAAAACTACTTCGACGAGCACTTTCCACTTTGGACGAGGACTCCCAGGCACAGTTGCTGGCTGCACAGTTCACCGAAAGTGTCCCGAATGCCATCGCCCAGCAGCTACGACTAATGAACGCAGTTCAACCCATGGATCTTAGTGAGATGGCCAAGGTCACCAGACAGCTGATGGGTACAGCAGTAGCCGCGGTGGAGTCACCAGAGGTAACTGGAGAAAACAAGTCGATAACCTTCGAAAGGAGGTGCCTGCACTTCGAATGAATATCAACAAATAGAGTGAATGCTTTGCATGCAGAAAACCAGGACAGTGGCGAAGAAAATGTCCGGAGAGGCGAAAAAGAAAACGTTTTGAATGATATGAGTTGTTGTAGGAGCCATAGATAGAGGTGCTGTGTATGCTAGAATGCGAATAAATGATCGGGAGATCGTGTGTCCAATAGACACGGGGGCGGCAGTCTCGCTGATAGATAAGTCAGTCTCACAACATAAGATCATGTGCACTAGCGGTCCACATGGTAGGGGGACATGCATCAGAAATCACAGGCTTATCAGATTGTGTCGTCGAGATCGGAAAATTAGATTTTCATTCATTGTCACCACGCATCTACAACGGACAATCCTAGGCGCTGATTTTTTTTAGAGAAGTGGGTGCAGTTGTTAACACGAGGACAAGAATAGTGGCGACAAAGTACGGGTCGTTCACCACGCACGAAAACAGTGAGGTAGCAGAGATTGAGTTGAGGTATTAAAAGCACCACACCCAGAAGTGCTAAACATCATGAATTTGGTCAAGAAACACGACAGATTGTTCACGGGAGATGGAGACCCCTACGGATACTGTAACAAGGTTAGGCATGAAATCCCAGTGACAAGTCAAGCAATGACAACATTTATAACACGGCGAATACCATGTCACTCGGAAGAAGTTTGGCGCCAGGTTCAGAAAATGTTAAATAAAGGCATTATTGAAGAGGCTGAGAGCCCATACAGTTCGCTAGTGCTTTTAGTCAGACAGTTCAATGGGAAATATAGGTTCTGTGTTGATTTCTGAGAGTTAAATACCATAACGGAACTGAAGCCGTGTGCCATGCCAACGGCAGCTAAAACACAGGATCATCTGCAGAATGCAAAAGTATTGACAGTTCTAGACCTGCGATCAGGTTACTGACGGCTACCAATAAAAGAAAGCGATAAAGAGAAAACAATTTATTGTGGGCAAGAAGCAACACCAATTCAAGTGAATGCCATTTGATCTTGCAGGCGCACCATTTACACTTAGATGGTTGATGTTACTGAAGAATTTAGAGAACGTAGAGGTGTATGCTGACGACGGAAACGGAAGCCGAACATCTAGAATACATGGGAGATGCTTTAAGACGCATTGATGAGTTTGGAATCCGCATCAATAAGACAAAATCTCAGGTAGCCAAGAAGAGTGTTACATCACTAGGACATAAAGTGAGAAACGGTGAGAAACTTCTGAAGGTTAAAACCATTCCAATGCTGAATTCAACGAGAAAACTTAGACAGTTCTTGGGTAGAGCAGCATTTTATACTCGGTTCCTCAAAAATTTCAACGAGATAGCAGCACCTTTATATAAGCTACTTGGTAACCCCAAATTTATGTGAACAGAGGAGGCAGAGAAAACGTTCAATCAGATCGAGGAACTCCTAAATGACCAGATGACTCTAAAACTACCAATACCGGAGAGGCCATTCATCGTGTCCACCGTTGCAAGTGACTATGGAGTAGGTGCAGTTCTGAGACAGACTAAAGGAGTAGTGGAGTATGCCAGCCGTATCTGGACACCTGCAAAACAGAAATATTCTACGGTTGAAAAAGAATGTCTGGCGATAGTTTAGGCGCTGGATAAATGGAGATCGTACTTCCTCGGTCAACGATTTGATATTGAAACTGATCATAAACCTTTACAGTGGCTAAAGACAGCGAGAGACCCTCAAGGAAAATTATCAGGTTGGATGTTACGACTGCAAGAGTACGACTTCACAATCGGTCATGTGACAGGGAAAGAAAACTGGTCGGCAGACTTCTTATCAAGATCAGACGAAGAAAATGACTTATTCACCTTTAAAAGTCGGACCATACACTTAAAGAAGTGATAAAAGCGGTAACCGAAAGAACGGAGACAGAAAAGTCTGTGGGAAATGAAGAGTTGAGAAGGTTGTTGACGCAGAAAGAACGCCTAAGGATGAATATTTATGGAGTGCTGACTTCGCGAGAAAACGATAGGAGCTGGTTGGCAGTGATTCCGAAATGTCTACGCGACAAAATGACACAAGAATATTACCAGTTAGCTCATACAGATGTCTCACGGACAGCCGACCATCTCGGACAAAGTGCATACTAGCCGGGTATGAGACAAGATGTTACCAAACACGTGCTGGGCTGTCCACATTGTCAGTTGATGAAAGGGAACCGGTAAACACGATCACCGCTACAGTCGATTCCAGTAGCAGCAGTTGGCGACTTGTGGTCTGTGGACGTAATGGGACCATTTCCGCAGACATCTAGTGGCAACCAATACCTGTTGGTAATAAAGGAGAATGTGACGCAATGGGCAGACGCTGACGCGATACCTGATCAACACGGAAGACAGTGGTCGCAGCGGTGATGCGGCATATTGTCGCGGATTACGGTGTGCCGAAGATGATATTGATCGACCGAGGTTCTTGTTTTGAGAGTGACGAATCCAAATCCTGTTTGGAGCAGCTCGATATCAAGAGGATAAGAACGACGCCGTACCACCCGCAGACTAACAGTTTGTCAGAACGGAGTGGCTGGCTTAGAAAGCCAAGGAGGGAATTGAGAGACGGAACTGCCGTTAATATTATTAGCGCAGCGTGCCTCGGTACAAGGAACAACCAAGAAGTCGTCGTTCCAGCTAGTGTACGGCAGGAAACCACGGTTCCCAATACATGGTAAGACCTGGTTCCAACAACAGCCGTGGGACATAACAAGATTGAAAAAGGAGCGGAAATGGGCGATCCGCTGTCATAACCATCCGGATAGCAGCAGTACGACTTTGTCCTCAGACCCCCATCACAGTGTAGTAATTTAGACCACAATGGCAGCTGCCTTTCGTCTTGTCACTATCCAATGGACCTTTCTGGCATAGTGGGACCTCGAGGGAACAAGTGTTCCAACAGCAAAACTCGTTAGGTCATTGTGATATGCAAGCCCGACCATCAAGTGAAAGTAGCAGCTATCGGTTGGAGGAGTAAAAGATGTGATCTGGAAAAAGCAGCAGAAGAAACTCCCCACTATCTGACCTGTGACCGTCTAATGTCCACTGACACATCTAAGATAACCTCCTTCGCGTCTAGACGTCCAAACTGTGCATCCAAGTCCCCAGCTAGCACTACGATATCTGTTGAGCGAGTTTGATTGAGAAAATCACTCACTTGACGGTAGAACTTATCTTTAACTACATCCGGACTGCAATCAGCCGGAGAATAGGCAGAGGTGACGAAAAAACGTTTATCTTGCCTCCAGCCTAACAGCACAAAAGTGACTTTCGATAGGGATCTACTCGACTACTAGGGCTTCGTATATAGCAATTAGTATGACACTGTAAAGGTCAGATGTATGTGGGTTGATGCTGCTCGGATGTCCAGAACGAAGTAGGAAGGGTCATTTATAAAGCCTTTGATTTGAAGTTTGGTCCACAAGGCACCAAAACAACATGACGTGCTAAATTTCTGTTGTTGTAGGTGACTAAATAAGGTCCGTACGCTCTTTGTCCACTCTGAATTCGAGAACCGATATGCACTGTTGGTTTGGGAATAGGGTTTTCTATCTCCCTTAAACGGGCCATCAATATCCAAAAATCCGGCTGTAAGCACTGTACATTCGTTTTCGCCTTCTAATTCTTGTATAAATATCCTTACCAAGTAAAGGCAGTGGGTAGAACTTCTCTGACAGGTTATGAAAGTGTGGCCGTATGAGAGCATTACGTGGATGACCTGAGCCATCCCGCCTTCAGGATGCTCGAGCAAATGCAGAGCGTTTGACCTAGAACACAGTGATAAAGTATTGTATGTAACTCAAGATTCACGTGTAAGTTTGTGCACTAGAGAGAGTTATTCTTATTGTGTGACGGCTGATGAAAGTACCTAACTGCGAAAATCTCGCTAAGTAGAGAGGGATTAAAACCCATGATCCACTGGCTGAAGATCGACAGAGTATGTCAGTGATCTACTGCTCCACAAAGTATCGCTTACTGAATGACGTTCTGAGAACAATAAATTTGTCACAATCATGTCAAAGAAATCGCATAACTTCATGACTTCGTTTTAATATAACTGCTTTTTTGTTTGATTTTACTGGTAGTAGGGTTTTCCATAAATCTGAATTTGGTATTGGATCGTTTGTATTGCACGTATTAAGTGTTGATTCGGTGAAAAAAGATCCAGCCACCAAGCTCTAGCTCCACTTAACCACATGAGATCTTAAGATTTTAACTCCAACTTATTCTATTGTCTGGTTGTGATACTGCATAAATAGCAATGGGTAAATTCTTCTTTCGATTAGTTAACTTGAGACCTATCATTTTGAACTTCGCCAAACTCCTGTGCTCTGATAACTTGACAGACTCCAATCAACAGGTTTCACTTGTGAACTGGACCTCAATCATTGTAAGTTACTTGGAATACTCAATCATTTTATTTCGTTGGGTAGGTGGGATCTATAGGTCACCAAAGTATCTTCTTGGGTGAATCTGAATACCACCATAATCTCTATTATTAAGAATCTACACGGGGTTCCCGATATTCCTTCCATATATGCAATACCGTGGAAGTCTTGAATTCTGTCCTGGTGTATGCAACACGGTCTTATAGAAGGACAAAATGACAGTCCTAAGGACTGATATAGTTAAGTGGAGGGACAGCTTGATCACCGAATATTTATTAGGCGAATAAAGCCCTAGCGTGGCAAGCTTGTTGACAGAGACAGCTATCGATATAACCTTCAACCCTTCCCATAATAGTGTGCCACATGATAAAATCAAATGTTCTAGTACTTCGAAACTGAAGTCATAAAAACAAGTTACGAGCCTGTGAACGTTTACCTCATTAAATGTCGCTGACATCAACGGGTTACTTTACAATATGCTCTATGATTTTATACACTTACGGTATCATAAAAAATCTTGTTGGATCATGAGGTTTACATTTCTCTAAATAAAGACTAAATTAGCAATTAAAATGGATGAGGATCAAACAAGAAAGCAGGAATCCAAAATGATTTGTTGATACTTACACAATAGTCAGTCGACTGTTCACATTCCAACTGTTCCTTAAAGGCATATGATGGTGAAGCGGGAGTGATTAGTTGGTTCTGATTATGAGAGGCTAAGCGCAAAAGTTCCTGATTTGTACCAAACCAAGACTTCCGCACCTTTCGGGATTTCATCCTGAAAGAGCAAAACACAGACAGGCCTCGAGTAGATAAACGAGGAATGTTACACTACCTGGGATCGTCTAAAAAGGATATATTCTGAAATGAAACACTTACAATAGCCAAACATTTGCACATGTACTAAGTAATTTTTCCATAACATGAAACCATGTTAATTCAGGCGACAACGCAGAATCGACTAAAAGGTATAACTTAAATGCTAGTATCGACTGACGTCAGGTTAGAATTAGTCTTACTTTGAAAATATGAACAAAAATAGCACTGCTACTAAGACGTTATAAAAAAGATGGAAAGCGAAGCTGATAGTTAACATCATTAGGTGACGCATTCCATCTTCATGATTATCAATATTGGTTGAATTTGATTATTTTCATCTAATTTCAGCAAAGTGATATAACTAATTCACTGCTATTTAAAGTAGGATTACATCAAAAAAAATGCCGCGAGTGGCCACACCAAAACGTTCATGGAATCTCTGATTGTTAGTTTGAACCGTTCGGAGATACGTAGGCTACCTGGTTTATATCTTCGGGACGACAGGGATGAGTGGTTGGAGACATTTGGTGATACAGCTCAAAAATGACCTCAATAGAGCAGATGTATACACATTAACATCAAAATTTAGAACATTTTTATTGACTTCTTTACCATTTGTCTTCTACCTTCTTTTCTTTGCATGTTATAAGAGTGTGGCAACTTGGACCGACACACTTCAATGCCGTATTCTACATTGGTTTATTTGTCTGGTTGGGAGTTAGGCGATTTGCGGTACTGGATGCTATCTTTAATCTTTTAGTTTAACATTTTTACCTTTCTACAACAAACCGTAACTGAATAAGCTGCTGAACTATGATCCTTTATTGAGATAACTGTGTACTATGACTAAGGTGATTGTCATTGTTATCCTTAGCAAGTGCCATCAATAAGTGCTCCCGCTGTACGATTAGCACTTAGTTAATTCAGTTGCCAGAACTTACAATTCGAAAGTTGCTCTTATTCTTTACACGTTAGCATATGCTTAGGTCTGCTATTACGTCTCATTGGTGTGGTTAATCCATAGTTTTAGGTGTTGATTTACTTCTAATACACTAAGATTAGGTTCACATGCAGCTAATGTGAAGCATGTACCTCTGATGTATGCAAAAAGAACGATTGACTTTACAGAAATACCCTATCTACTATTTACTCATAACCGAAGTCGAAGAAAGAATGTTATTGGTTATTCCCAGTACTTGGATGCTGAAGGAGGACTTGTGCGTGTACAACACACGCAAATCTTTTGAAGAATGTGACCATGGAATAAGAGTGGTAAGTGAGAAAACTTAATACATAACACCGTAGATTCCTTGGATGAAATAAAAACGGTGCAATTGCTGTTAAGGTTACGTCAGTGTAATGGATAAGGCCCCAAAGATAGGAATACCCTTCTTATATCTAGTACAAAAGTTAAAAAGCAAGAATCTAGTTAAATGCTGAAATTGGAATTCAGGTCAAAAATAAAGACTAACGATGACCACCTTCACGATTTCTTGAGACAAATTGGAGATAATCAGGCTGGTAATAATCAAACACAAAATTCACTCATGACTTTTTCCGGGCCTATTTATTCACGCACAAAGAGAACAATTAGGATATACGTTGAAACTTATCAAAAAGCTCGCACGTAAAACGTTCCTGTCATCGTCACTCACAAGCAGATATAGAGGTACACCTGCTTGTCAAAGCTTACTCTTACTGGTTGATCTTACCATAATAGATTACATTCCATCGAGTCGCTTCCAAAGAACTGACTGCCTTTATTCGGAAAATAATTAAGTTTACGGTAATTACCACTAACAACCAGACATTACTAGTTAACACGTCGAAATAACGGCCAACAGTTTAGCCATTTTGAACCCTCATGTAAATTAGAGGAGCTTTTCCGCTACCGTAAGTACAGAAGAATATAGGCCACAGTGTCCGTTAGCCAACGAGGATGAACTAAAGATGATAAGTCGAAAGGGATATTTGCAAGTTCTTAGTTCAAAACTTTATTTTACAGAGAGCGAATATGATAAAAATGTTGACAGATGAACCAAAGTTATCCTTGAGGTTTATGTTGCACGGTGTTCTGAAACCTGAATTAGGTATGAAATTCACCGTGCTTAACACTTTCTAAAAGTTAGCAGTAATTCGTTATTCTTTTTACAAAATAGGTTCTATTACTGATATTATCATTTACGTGGCTGTTATCGCTTGCAAGTTTGTTGGGCTAATGCTTTCATGCAAAGAAGTTTAGGCAATTATGGATAGCATCACACTTTTCGTAACATAAAAGGTTGTTAAACGTGTGAAGAAAGATGACTAAGTTACAACTCTACAACTAAATATTATTTGTCAAAGCTTTAACTGATATGTGTAAAGAACTATGGGAGAATGCAATTCCATATTAGACTTGTGTATTCGATATAGAAAATAGTGATACAGTATCATTTACTCCATATGTCGACCATAGATTACTGGTCATAATCACAGCCCTCGACATGTAATTTTTGAAGTTTTATCATCTCGTATTCCTTGTTTTGCGGCGATGAACCCTTCCACACCTCAACATCCCATAACATCCTTATTACATGTGCTAGGTGTTAACTCGATGAGCAAAGATTACTTTGGTATAACTACTAACAGTAGTGGATGCTCTACACGTAATCAAGTAGATAATATTGTATCACTGTGTATTGTATCGAATAGACAAACCTAGTATGGAACGATCACTAATATCTGTTTGCCTTTTAAATTAGTGAACCGGAAATGCCATCCGTCGCATGCAGCAGGATGGATGTAAGCTGGAATAATTAACTTATGTGTGCAATGATTCCTCCGAATCGCTGTCTCGTCCTGGTCACCTTTCTATTTGTTATGACTCATGGAATGACGCTGATGATCCATAAAACTGATCAATTCCTTTGTACCTTTTGAAGTGTTTTTCGTTATGCAGAAGTATTTTGTTTCAGGACCACGCACAATGATAAATGAATGGCAGATAGGAATAAAACTAAAAATTGGATATTAATAATCTTAACTTCAATGGTGTTACACACAATAAGCACGACAACCGGACTGTTGTAGAGTATTTGAAACTGAAATCTAAGCTACCACCTGCATAGTTTGAATCACAAAAATAGGGTAGCAAGGTTTTCAGGTCAAAACACACATCCATTTTTCGAACATGATGAGAATTACAGAAACGTTTTGCCAACTTTAGGAAAACGTGGGTCAAATCGATCGGAGTTTCGAAATATGTGGAGGCTAAAAAACGTGGAGTACAGTTCAGGGCAATGTTGCAGAACCGCTAACTTTTAGCCATTTTTTCCTATGATCACTGGTTTTGCCCACGATAACGTTGATTGGGTACTATGCCAAGAGTAGGAATTTCGTGGCAAGAGTGTAGAAATAAAGCAGACTCGTCGAAAATAGGGAACAATATAACTGTTTTGTGTAGACAAGTAGCTTTTCGCGTCAGTACGCGAACAGCACTCGAACGCCTACAAAACTATACAGTGTGGAATAAGAGACACAAATTCCTACTTCCGTACCACCTAAAGAAAGTTATTTACCCCTTTCTGTCAGGTTATGGTTAGTTCCTACCACACAATTAACAACTTTACACACTCTTTCGAAGAAGCGGGATACTGGTTACTACATATATGATGACGCATTTTAATGGTGAGAAATTTCGCCAATTTCCAGAACAACATTACTTGGGCAACAGCAAAAAAGCCGCGAATAAAGACTAATTGTAACTCCCGCGACGGCAGATTCAACATAGTTACTGACGTCCAATATCCAATATCTGACATGTGCATTTGAGCTTATGAAAACCATGTGATTTCTTTGCCCTCGCTTCCGGGTCCTGCGAGAGTGTTCCGAGTTACTGGTGGATTCCAGTGCTTTAGGTCTACACACTTGCCTATTGTAACTCTGTTAGCCCGACGGGCGGTTGGGTGTTGATTAAATTTATAGGGATCGTACGATTTTTCCAACATCATTGATGCAAATGAGTCGCTCAAGTATCTTTTCACCAGGTATGCGTTTTAAAAAGAAGACGAAAATGAGGAGAAGATTTCCGGCGAAATCATTACGTGCAGAAATAAAGGTGGAGAGAATTGGAACAGAAGGGAAGGAGAGATAACGGTGATAAGGAGAACCTTAATAAATATGGTGCAATCACGGAGTCAGCGGAAGCAGAAAAGGTAAGAAAGGTTATAAAACGGACTATGGCATAAGATAAAGTAATCCTATTACTAGGGGTATGGCAACTAGATGTGAGATGTCGAACAGGGAAGTACAAGATTGAGTCAAGTTCACAATGATAGCGGGAGTTCACAACAGTCTGTATATGGTTGACTGTGCTAGAATGATGCGCAATTAAATGGAACTCAAAAGAAAGCTTCACTGCTCAGCCCGGATCATTTCGTCATGCGGGTTTCGCCCAGAATACATGGCAAACTACACAATTCGGCCTCCACATATAAGAAAAATGGTACGTAGAAACTATTCATTTTGTAACATACTCAGTCCAAGGGAAATGCCACAATGTACGGACTGGAACATATTTCACAGTGATGTTTTGAACGACACTATTGATGGTGTGACATGATGTCCCATGTTTTGCCTGGGTGTCAGTTGCCCCGGTGAAAAACCTCTCTTACACTTCAACAGCATATTTTCCTAACGAATTCAGACTAAGAAGGGAAAAAGGCAACATAAAGTAAGTGATGATCTTGGTGCTCGTCAACTGAGCGTTTTTATTAGGCTGAGAGTCAAACGTCTAAGTCTACTACATAACTAGAAACTACCGTCTCGCAAAGTTTATCCCAGCAGGTGGAAACATTATAAAGACCTCACTGATAGTAATCACTTTAGCGAAGAAACACATATCGATACCTCTGCTTTGAATAAATCGTTCATACGCCAACCCACCAGTCCCATCACACTTTGTCCACATACTTCCAATGAGGAATGTCTTCCAAAGTTCACTGAGAAACATGCCTTCAAATTTCTCAGATCTCTGAGCGCTTCACGCGATTCAGGCCCGGATGGCATATCACGGAGTGCACCGACATTTTAAGCCATCCAACAACTTGCATTTTGAACAGATTGTTCTCAGAAAACGCCATATCAGCTGCCTGGAAAGGCACCAAGACAGTCTCGATCCGACGTCCAAGGACCTTTTCTGCCGGACAGGCCACATGGGACTAATACTGAGCCCCGGATAATCAGCCACCTGTATTTCTATTTCACTGATAGGAAACAGCATAATGTTCACAGAGGGAGGCGCCTCACCTCATGGCTTAATGTGACTGGTGTCCCCAAGGAGCCGTCTTCTCCCGCTGTTTTTTCTCTCTCCTTCTGCATGAATCACCGCCTTTGAACAGTATCAATTTCATCATCAAGAGTGCTGGGAACTAACGGTTTCCACGCCTATTTCCTTTCCTACAGGTTGTTCTCAACTGAATGATTTCTCATCTGCAGTTGGATGATGGTCCTCCATGAGTGGTCTTATGCTTAATTTTTCAAATTGTCGGACCACGAACTTTAGTTTTAGACATGAACATAACCTACGTACGCTGCTCGGCTCTCACGATCCCTGTTCTACTGACAGTTGCGCACCAGAGAATGTTACAAGTGTGATTTGTCTCCGCATGGTTTTCTCTGGGCTTTTCCTGGCCCCCTCATATCTCATTGGGTTCCGAGGGAATTTTTCGCCTTACTTTCCATATTAGGCGGCAGAGAGTATCTGGAGTAAATTCACTTCTCATTCCGCGTTTTTCAACTCCAGTATCTTGCCTGTTCTCCCCCATTGTTCTCCTTTGTTCTCTCCAGGGTTACCAAAAAAGACTGTGCTATATCGCGTAGAGCTTTAGAAATTCTCACCAGAGCCAGTGGCGTACCTCCAAACCTTCTGGTTAAAACAGTTGCGGGCAAACATGTTAGCCCATGTAAGCACCTGGCAGGAGGTAATTTATCAGGTGACACCATGTTATTATTTATGTATTATGAGTGTAATTGCTAACGTGATTGTTTACCAAAATTAACCATGCACTTCAGGAAGGCTGTAGGTAGAGTGAATATTCTTATCTGTTATGCGTAATTTATATCTATTTCCTTTACTGTGTATGCATATACGCTGTTTCTGTCCAACTGATGCCATATGACATGATGAAAATTCCGTAGAGTATTCCCAAAGTAGTTTTCAGAATTAAGCCATTATTGTTACCGTTATGAGTTTTTACTGGTGTGGTCAGTATCCCAGCTGCGTTACAACCAGCCATGAGTCATTCCGTGGCTGCCCGACCTCTTCTTGAAGCCGTCGGCAGATTCAGGAGCCGCGATCCTGGCAGGCAACAAGCTTCTGCGAGCGCAGTCACAGAGACTGAAAATGTGAACGTTGGCGGGTGCTTGCCCTGCGGATGGGTGATTTCCCCCGGGTTACCAAGAGAACTACCGTAGCGGCCGCTCGACAGAATATCGCCGTTCACGTGACCTAGGTAGCCCAGCCTTTCGTGGGCCGTTACTTAATAGAGTGGGGTCCTATGTCGTTCAGCCTCATACAGTTTCCGCCCCTTTTCCTACAACGCACCATGGTATTCGTTTCTGAGCCTCCACCAGGGGTCTCATGCTGGGCTTGTGATAAAATGGTGCAGTGACACTGAGGACCTCCATGTGAGGTCGTAAGTCGGCCTTGTAACGCTCCGGGAGGAGTTCCAGGGTGAAGGCAACTGGTCGTCTGTGCGTGAACCGTGGCACCGTACAGGCTCAGAAGACATCTCCTAGACGACTGGAGCAGGTGTCTAGCCTGTCAGTCAGCACTAGTACCAGGTCCTTCTCCGTCATCGTGTTGGAAAAGGGCATGCCAGGAGTCAGGAGTGAGGGGAAACATGGTTTGGCGCTTATCCAGGTTAAGAGCCATTCCACTTTTATTCACAAGCTCCGTAGGCAATCTGAGGTTGGATTATAGTGCACCCGATTCCATTCCAGATGTTACAGCCCTCAGCAGCTTCATGCCGTCAGCTCAGTGTGAATCGGATGGCTGAGATTCAGTGATAGGTTAGTCCCAAAAGGAAGGAACAGCAGGGACTTTGAATCGCCCCCTGTGAGACTGCTTCAAAGGTCTTGGTAAAATGAAGGAAGGTTCAGTGAGAAGATGGGTTTCGGCTTCATCCGACATTCTTGTTAGCATGTACTGTGGGTGGGGCCTGTTGGTAAAGGATCGTCCTCTTTTCTACTCCTACCCATTTTCCCCGCTGCACGGAAGAATTAGTTGTTAGAGCCTGATACACAGTTTGAGACTGGTTTGGTTGCCCTTCTAACTAGTTATCATCTGACTATTTTTTTAACCACTCACAGACATGGCTGTCAGCGGAACATCACTGAACCCTTTTTTTGTCGGTGGTAGTTTTTGCGGTTCCTGGCAATTCAGGGGCCACCAGACCGCATTTCATAGTCTCCGTGCTGTAGGCTATAATTAGGATTGGCCTCGTGCATCGCTGCGGACAGATATAGCTGAATCATGTGCAACAGTAACGCTCCATGAAGGTGTACTATCGGTCTGTTACTTCCTTGTCGCACCGACAATGTACCCGCTCCTAACACACACTAGTTTCAAATGCTGCCTCTATTTTGGCTACAGCGAGGCCACATATGTGGCTATTGTCGATGTGGTCGAAGGGTTTTCGTTTCGTTCTCTGTAGTTTCTCTTCGGTGCCTTTCGCAGGCGCGCCAGGGTCTCGGCCGTACATCGTTGAAAGAGGAAACATGTGTTACTTGAAGGGAGAGTTATTTTAATGGCAAGTGCACAAGAGCCTGTGGATATAAGCGCCTATCACAGTATATTTTCTTACAACCGGTGATGGTTACTCCAGGACTCTGCATACTCCGAATTACCACAGGTCTTTGCTCGCTACTTTCTGGAAGGCAGCCTTTATCATCTTTTCCCTCCACGATATCCAGCATACCGTGGATTTAGTATTTAACGCAACAAACTGGTGTTTCAGACGGTTATTGTAAATAATTTCTCTTCCTTTTGGCATCGCTCAGCTTGGGCGGTAGTTTCAGCTCTTGCCTCAGTATTCCTGACACGTGGCGAAGGTTGGCTGCAGATGATACCGTAAGCAGTTTTCCATTCAGCAAAATCCTGAATTTAAATGCTGGTAGTTAATTCAATCGGATACTTACCTTCAGATGCACAAATATGGCAACTACCTAAAGACCAGCTTGGCAGCAATATTTTAACATTTCCCGGCCACTTCTCATCCAGAAAGAACACTTATAGCGCTTAATCCATAACCGCTGTTTTTCATAAGTCGTACCGTTTGACACCGGCAACAATTACAAAACGTGGCGAAACGCTGGTGTTCGTTTCACCATTTTTTAATAAAAAATACTTCACGGTGTGACTCATATCACTGGTCATATCATCAGCCAACCCCGAAGCAGCTCGCTTTTCCCGTACTGCGGGATGTGATACCAAGAGACATTAGCAAGAGAGAAACTCATACAACTGCGCGATCCCTGGCTGAAATTCTAACCAAAGCTAAATCGGAAGTTTCTGACAGTTTTAGAGGTTCACATACCTGCTACGATATAATGCGATACCCCTCATCGTTTATTGCCTCGTAATGTCAGCCAGAAACAATGACCAAAACTTGGCTGTCCACCCTTTGCTTCTTTCGTCTTCTCCCTCAGTGTTAGGCATTCCTTTGGGTGAAGTTTTATCCAGAA